TGTGATGTATTTAAACAAAATGCTACTTAAATAGTGGAAGAGTTTTCAACAATTAGGAGGAATGAGTTAATGATATACACAGCAATATAGAACTTAGAGGTATTTTACTGAAAAAACAGTCCCCAAAGTGTACATAAGTGCTTAATTTTATTTATGTGGTGCTCTAAGACAGCAAAAATGATCAATGATTTAAAAAATCACAAGAGGAGTTTCTTTTAGTGTGGGGAGGGTTGACTGGGAAGTAGCAAAAGCAACTTTTTGAAGCAATGGGAGTATGCTATATTTAGTGATGGCATTGGCTCCATGTCAGTATGTAGTTGAAGAACTTACTGTATTGTGTATACTTATATGTATTCATTTGGCCATATGTAAATTTTAGCTCAAATTCAAAAATAGAACAAACAGTTATTAAACTTTAATTGTTAGGTTTGTTTTCTGCAGTGTTGTGGGTAACCGATTATGGAATTACTTTATGTAGATTACTGTAGGAATGAGCACAAGAGTTAATATATTCAGGACAGTAAGGGCACGCTTTCTTACTGTGGGAGATGAGAGTTACCAGTATGAAAAAGAGAACACTGGAATGTACCCCATGATATTAGGGTGAAATTAGAGGTCATCTGTAATTATTGTTTATCTTTATATACATAGAAATAAACACATGTAAACACATGCAGGCATGTGCTATGCATACAGACACACAGAAACACGTGCACACATGCAGTTTCTCTCATTTTTTTGCTAAGAGCGATTAGAGTTAATGTCATATCAATAGCAATGAGCACATTAGTACCCAGATCTCAATAGTGTTCTAGAAGGACTCAGGGCTCCTTGGAGAAAGGTTTTCCCCAGGACTGGTACAGGGGAAGTACTAGAGGAGCTAGAAGCACCAGAAAGTAAAGTCATGTTCACATGTGGGAACCTCAGAAGGACAGAAGCCAGCTCCAGAGGGCTTCCACCGGCCAAATATGCGGCAATCTGGGCATCAGTATGAACAGCGAGAGTGATGGAGTGTGGCTTGTTGACTAGTCAAATGAATACTACCTGAATACACGATAAGTAAACATTTCGCAAGCGGAAAGTATTGCTTATCTATAGAAATATCATTTACCATTTAATTGATAGTAATAGCCAAGTAAGTCAATGGGGAGAAGAGAGTACTCTTTCTTATATAGAATAATCAGTGTAGACAGAATAATGGGGTTAATTACCAGTGGATATTAAAACTAGTGGGAAGTGAGATGTTTCTAGAATGTCAAAAACATCTCACAGATTACTTAGGGACAGCAGTTTAGTAACTTTACTAAAAACTTATGGAAAGACTTAGAGACCCTGAAAAGAGCACTTCCCCCCAGTATATGTAAGCCATGCAACTGGGAAATTAGATTCATGTTGTTAAGTTGAGATTTTCAGTGAAGACCCAGAAACTGATAAATGATTCATTTTATTTAGAGAGCTACAGGGCATGGTGTGCAGGAGCAGGGCCTCTGCAACCAAGCATCTTGCCTCAGATCCTGGCTTTATCCCTTAACTAGCGGTTTGGCTTTTGGCGAGTTAAATGTGTATGCCTCAGTTTTCTACATCTGTGAGGAGGGAACAATAATAGTCCCTACCTCCTGGGGGTGTCGTGCAGATCCAACAAGTAAATGCACAGAAAGGGCTCAGAGTAAGTAAGATTCACACACAGTAAGCACAATGCCAGGGTATTTGCTCTGAGGATTATTCAATTAATTTAATTTTTAAAATGTAGAAGCCATCAGTTTCAGACGCTGTGCCATGATCTACAGATCTGCTGCTCTTCTATAACGCAAACGGCCTTTGCTTAAAAGGCAAACATATAAAAACCAACCAAACCAAACCTCATCCTGAGTAAGGGCAAGCAGTTCTGGCAGCTTGGTCCTCGCTGGCTCCGATAGCCCCTTGGAAGGGTCAGTGCGAACCAGTGTTTAAGTGTGTATTTTTGAAATTGCATACTATAATTGTAGGCAAGCATTTAAAGGTGTTAAATTTTATTAATGCAAATATTACGAGCCTTATTTTATAGGTCATTTTTTGCTGTATTTTTGGTCTGTGTGTGTGTGTGTTGGTCTAAGGAAGAGAGCACTGGACTTGTGGGATTGCCTCTGTACACCAATCACATAAACAAAAGTCAACTAGGGTAAGAGACAACACAAGCTAGATGGTTCATCTCATAATTTTTCTTCCAATGAAAACATATTTTAAATTATTTTCTTTTTAATGATTTCAGGTGTGCACTTCGAAACACACATGCCAGTGTTCTGAGGGCTACTTGCCTCCAAACTGCAGGGACCGCGCCAGAGGAGAAGCTGTGCCATTGGTTAAGGGAAAGGGCAAGTATCTACCTCCTTCTATTTTGTTTTTTTCTTTAGAGATATTTTTGCTAGGGGCATGTGGGCTCGCCAGAGAGACAGAGAGAAATAGAGAGACAGAGAGCGAGAGGTCACCCCTCCCCCACAGGAGGGATGGCCACATTGCAATCCCTTCTCCTCCATTCTCCTCTCAGGATTTTGGGGCACACATGCAAATGCAAATGGCATGAGATTTAAGCTGCCAGGTCCAGGACTCAAACTGTGGTCAACTATGTGGGAGTCCAGTGATGTAACCATTACACCATCTGCTGGTCTCAGTATCTCTCTCTTTAGAAATGCATTTTGTAACATTTTAAGTTCCTTGTCTTCAGTACAAGAGTTAGACTTTTTCCACTTAAAAAGAGACTAATATTTTTCAAATTAAAAGGTCGCCAAACTTCTCTCAAGAAATGGAAACCAAGTATGCCTTTCTTAATCGTGCTATCTTTTCCAAGAATTAAAATTCTGTGAAATTGTCTTTACTCATGTCATTGAAATTCTTTCAGAATATTTTTCACAGTCCGTGTGATCTCAGTTCTGAAAACATTTTCCCTGTATGTAGAAGTGCTGCCACGTTTCCGTTAGAGAAGCAGCAAAGTAGAGAGAAGGCAAGATTTTACTGTGAAGGAACTCACAGCTTAAATGAAAAGAATCCCTAAATTTCAATGTAATCTAGAATGTCAAAAACATCTCACAGATTACTTAGGGACAGCAGTTTAGTAACTTTACTAAAAACTTATGGAAAGACTTAGAGACCCTGAAAAGAGCACTTCCCCCCAGTATATGTAAGCCATGCAACTGGGAAATTAGATTCATGTTGTTAAGTTGAGATTTTCAGTGAAGACCCAGAAACTGATAAATGATTCATTTTATTTAGAGAGCTACAGGGCATGGTGTGCAGGAGCAGGGCCTCTGCAACCAAGCATCTTGCCTCAGATCCTGGCTTTATCCCTTAACTAGCGGTTTGGCTTTTGGCGAGTTAAATGTGTATGCCTCAGTTTTCTACATCTGTGAGGAGGGAACAATAATAGTCCCTACCTCCTGGGGGTGTCGTGCAGATCCAACAAGTAAATGCACAGAAAGGGCTCAGAGTAAGTAAGATTCACACACAGTAAGCACAATGCCAGGGTATTTGCTCTGAGGATTATTCAATTAATTTAATTTTTAAAATGTAGAAGCCATCAGTTTCAGACGCTGTGCCATGATCTACAGATCTGCTGCTCTTCTATAACGCAAACGGCCTTTGCTTAAAAGGCAAACATATAAAAACCAACCAAACCAAACCTCATCCTGAGTAAGGGCAAGCAGTTCTGGCAGCTTGGTCCTCGCTGGCTCCGATAGCCCCTTGGAAGGGTCAGTGCGAACCAGTGTTTAAGTGTGTATTTTTGAAATTGCATACTATAATTGTAGGCAAGCATTTAAAGGTGTTAAATTTTATTAATGCAAATATTACGAGCCTTATTTTATAGGTCATTTTTTGCTGTATTTTTGGTCTGTGTGTGTGTGTGTTGGTCTAAGGAAGAGAGCACTGGACTTGTGGGATTGCCTCTGTACACCAATCACATAAACAAAAGTCAACTAGGGTAAGAGACAACACAAGCTAGATGGTTCATCTCATAATTTTTCTTCCAATGAAAACATATTTTAAATTATTTTCTTTTTAATGATTTCAGGTGTGCACTTCGAAACACACATGCCAGTGTTCTGAGGGCTACTTGCCTCCAAACTGCAGGGACCGCGCCAGAGGAGAAGCTGTGCCATTGGTTAAGGGAAAGGGCAAGTATCTACCTCCTTCTATTTTGTTTTTTTCTTTAGAGATATTTTTGCTAGGGGCATGTGGGCTCGCCAGAGAGACAGAGAGAAATAGAGAGACAGAGAGCGAGAGGTCACCCCTCCCCCACAGGAGGGATGGCCACATTGCAATCCCTTCTCCTCCATTCTCCTCTCAGGATTTTGGGGCACACATGCAAATGCAAATGGCATGAGATTTAAGCTGCCAGGTCCAGGACTCAAACTGTGGTCAACTATGTGGGAGTCCAGTGATGTAACCATTACACCATCTGCTGGTCTCAGTATCTCTCTCTTTAGAAATGCATTTTGTAACATTTTAAGTTCCTTGTCTTCAGTACAAGAGTTAGACTTTTTCCACTTAAAAAGAGACTAATATTTTTCAAATTAAAAGGTCGCCAAACTTCTCTCAAGAAATGGAAACCAAGTATGCCTTTCTTAATCGTGCTATCTTTTCCAAGAATTAAAATTCTGTGAAATTGTCTTTACTCATGTCATTGAAATTCTTTCAGAATATTTTTCACAGTCCGTGTGATCTCAGTTCTGAAAACATTTTCCCTGTATGTAGAAGTGCTGCCACGTTTCCGTTAGAGAAGCAGCAAAGTAGAGAGAAGGCAAGATTTTACTGTGAAGGAACTCACAGCTTAAATGAAAAGAATCCCTAAATTTCAATGTAAGAGATGATAGAAAGGATGCTAGCACGGTGTGTCTGCTCCCTCTGACTTTAGTTTCTGCCGTTTGGTTATTCATCAAGTCGGCAAAGATTGGTTGAACTCAGTATGTGTTGGGTGCTGGTCTAGGCACTGGGGTTGGACACGGTGAGCAAAACAAAGCCCTTGTCTGGTGGAGCTTGGAGAAAACTTAAATCTGTATACCCAGTGACAACCAGAGGCCAAATTCGAATTAGGAACGGAGTTGCCTGATTTTTATGCTGATGGCGTTGCAATATCTCCACAGTGAAAATTGATCCCTCGTATAAAAAGCCAACAGTCCATTACAGAAAAATAGGATGAAGCCGAAACAGTGCAATCCTTTGAGAATGTACCTTCTAGCAATGCAGTCTTGGCTAACCCTATAATTACACACGCTCACATTATATTGCATTGAATTTGTTTGGCTCCAGTACGGTCTTACAATGAGACTGTGCTATAGCTGTTGTATAAAGTAGAACACTTTGAAACTTTGCAGAACTTGATTACCATGATTTTAGAATAAACAATTGTAGAGATCGTTCCTCATATTATGATTCTCGAATGGTTTTTCCTCATCTCCAAGATAATAATAAAAAGAACATTTCAGTTTAATTGTTACAACTTGAAAGTAAGCGCAGATAGTTGATTGTTAACTTTTTTTTAAATGTATTTTTATTTTTAGGTTTAGTCATGGAAAGAGGTTCTGCGAAGAAAAGAAAGAACTGGCTCCTGGCTTTCTACATTGGCTTTCCTGGAGTTATCATCGCAGCCATCGTAGCTGTGACATGGAACATTTTCACAACGTGGTTCTCAAAGGAAGAGGAACGCCCAAGTAGCGAGTAATTGAACTTTGTGTTCTACAGTTAAGCTTTATTATCATTTGAATTTTGTCACATGTAAGGCAACATCATGAGCAGCAGCGACACTTGATATTTTACTCGGATTTTGAGTACTATGCCTACATCTCATTCAATTGTGGAAGGTATTTGTGCTCATTTCACTTTAAAGGTGCAGGGATTTGTGAGTATCATTCAAATAGCCAGCCAAAGCCATTGCCCGCTAGTCGAGAGGAACTGAGAGGTATCTATTTGTGTTGCTTTCAAATGCTCTAGAGGGTATTCAAAGTCTAGTCCATGTCACCTACAGAAGCACCAGAAGGATCTACTGAAAACGCAGATTTCTGTGCCCTACTATTGATGAAATATTTTGATTCACGTGGTTGCTTCTTGTAAGAAATAGTTTAAAGAAATGTTCCCCACATGAAGTTTCCAGAAGGTAAAATTATAATTTAGCCTAAAATATATTTTTAAAGAAATAATTCAAATACAGAGAGAACAAGGTGATAGCCCTCTACTAATTCACCACTGGAAATGAGATTAATTAACATTTTCCTTATTTATCTTATGAAATAAATCATTGCATTTACCGCTGAAATTCCCTTACAGTATGATAACCTCTGTCCCTCCCGGAAAGAACCACTTCTGCACGGGGAGTTAGTATGTATCCAGAAAGTTACTACACGTGAAGGCATCAGTGCACTGTATGCATTATTGTCCTAAATACAATTTCAGTATCTTTCCTTTCCCTGTAGATGCATCTCTTTTCCTGATTCTCGTTTGTATATGCATGTATGTGTGTGTGTGTATATATATGTATACACACACACATACATGTGCGAGTTCAGCCATGTGGAAGTTCAGCCATGTAACACCACTATACTATCTGCTGGCACTTTTAAACTATATATATAATATATAATATAATATATATAACACATATATAATATAAATTATACACAATATTTTACATATATAACAACATATAATATAATAATATATATGAATATATACATATTATATATATACTATAATTACATATATACAAATGTATAGTTTTGAAGTGGTTTTTCTATTTAATAGCAATTTTAAAAATGAAGCTTTTGATCTTCTTGAGATGTTTATATTCTCTCTCTTTTTTTTTGGAAAGGTTTTTGCTATAGGATGCATGTGCTCGCCAGACAGAGAGAGACATAGAGACAGAAAGCGAGAAATCACCCCCCAGGGGGGAAGGTCATGCCGCAATCCCTTCTCCTCCATTCTCCTCTTGGGATCTTGGGCACGCATGCACAGTTGCCCGGCGTGAGTTTTAAGTCACCGGGTCTGGGACGCGAACCGTGGTCGACTACATGGGAGTCCAGCGACATAGCCATTACGCTAACTGCTAGTTCCCTATATTCTCTCTTTTTTAAAAATCAAGTTGTCGTCTCCTTTTTGCTTTGCTTCTTTTCAATCCTAGTTTTCTTGAATCTAACATGCTGGTAATTTTCAGTCTCTCTTGTTTCCTATCTTCTTAATGATAAGACTTTCCCCTCGTGCATCATTTTCTCTCCAGTCTCCAGTTTGTGAAATACAGTCAGTATTCAGTTAAAAAACCTAGGGACTTCCAGTATGATTTCTTACGTAAATCATCAATAAATTGTGATCTTTAGGTTTTGATTATGGGATTTATTTTCTTTGGTTTAAATACTGTTTCCTAACTTTATTAGTTTTTTTGAGATACTTGCCTATATGATTTAGATGTTTTGGTTAAAACCCAAAAGATTAAAACTACACTTTCATAAAAGGTTATGCTTGATATGTATATTATAATGTTTAAGAAAAAAATGTTTTTATAAAATAATTATTTTATTTAATTTAATTAGTTAATTTATTTGTTTTAATTTGACCAGAGAGGAACAGAGTGAGAGCAAGAGTGAGAGTAAGAGAGAAAGTGAGAAAGCAAGCCACGAGGTCCGAGACTCGAGCTGCCGTCAGCCATGTGGGAGACCAGCCCTGTTGAACACCACACCACCTGCTGGCCTAAGGAAAAAATGTTTTAAAAAGAGTGTTTATTTTTAGAGAAGGAGAGAGATGTGGGGACAGAAAGAGGGAAGAGAGGAATTCTTATCAGGGTCTTCATGCTGTGTCCCTTCCCACTAGAGCTTTGTGTGGCTCCAGAATCGTACAGCTGTGGCCTGCTACCTGTTTCACTGCAACTGGACTGACAGCAAGATTTTAATTGCATTATTTCTTTTTTCTTAAGGAATTATTTAATTTAATTCATTATTATTATTTCTTAGAGAGAGATTTTTGCTATAGGGTGCATGCACTCACCAGAGACACAGAGACAGAGTGAGAGACCCCTCCCTGAGGGGATGGTCATGCCACAATTCCTTCTCCTTTCTCTCCCTCTCAGGACTTTGGGCACGTGCACACACATACCCACAGTGAGCTTTCAGCTGCCAGGTCTGGGATTCGAACCATGGTGGACCATGTGGGAGTGCAGCACCCAACCACTACACCACTGCTGGCCTCTATTATTATTATTATTATTATTACTATTATTATTATTATTACTATTATTATTGTATTAATTCAAAAGAGAGATAGAGGGAAAGTGAGATAACAAGTAGCCAGGTCCGGGACTGAACCTGTGGTTGGCCACATGGGAGTACAGTTCCTTAACGACGGTGCCACCTTCTGGCCCCTAATTGTATTTTGAGTCGTTTTCATACTTACTGTGTTTATTTTTGTGTGTGTTTGTTTTTGTTTTCATCTGTTTTATGATTTATTTTGTGTAAGAGGTAAACTAAAGTTTTCAGGATGTTGCGGCTAATTGCCGTATTGTACGTATTGTCAGTGTATAGTATATTTATGTATTTCTATCTACTTTTTCCTCCTAAGTGATACATTTTATGACTGTTACACTTGGAGATCTAGAATTCATAATTATGGGATGAAGAGAATGGATTATATTATTCTGTCCCTTTTATCACCAATAAATAGCATTTTGTTCCTGTTCTGTATCTATAGATATGTAAATATATCTAGCCACATACCAAGTCTTTTGATAATTTTTGAGATAGGTTTTTTGTTGCATTTTCAATACTCTTCCATGTGAGATGTGGAGACAGGAAATTGCTTTGGCAACCTACTCTGCCGTATTGTCTCGAAGTCAATATAGGTTTTAATTTACAAAATGTAGTAATTTGTGTAACAATGCTAAAATATGCCAAGTTGGGACGTGAAAGTCGGACTGAGGCATTCACAGTCAAACCTCTATTCAGTGTTCAAAACTGATAGGGGAAAGCTGATCCGTGCTTTCCCGGTGCTCTCACTGCAGGATGGGAAATTTGTACTTTTTGTGGGTGAGGAGTCTGGGTCAATAAAAATGTTATTTATTCGCATCTTTGTTCAGTTACCTTTGGACATTGTTTTATTTATCAGTAGCTAGTCTTGTAAAGATAAGACTGTTTGGAAGTTGGCAAGCTTTCTTACTATTAACTTGAGACATTATTTTCAACTTTTCTCTTAGATCCAAATCGGAAGGCAGCACGCACACCTACACCAGCAGGCAAGTACATTAGGTGTTTTTAAGATACGTGTTGAAGATGAAAAAGAAATCGATAATTCACAATTTCTAAATTTTTTTGAACTACCTCAATAGGTAGGAAGCTGGACTACTTATATGTCGCAATTTGCTTTCTAATAAATGAGTCCTTTCTTCATTTAATAAAGGTTTATTAGAAGTATATACTCTGAGGAGCCAAGGAAATCATAGCTGACTCTAATGGGAGATAAGATATGTATAATTCGTAAAGAAATGCAAAGTGCCAAGGAGTTGTAGTAGTGTAATACTTGGGTAAGCAAGCAAATGCCTGACATTTGATTGTGACAGAGCTCATGAAGCTACATTTATAAATTTTTATCATAATTATGGGATAAAGAGAACTAATTACATTACTCTGTCCTTATCATCAATAAATAGCATTTTGTTTCCGTTCATGTTTTTAACCATAAATTCAATCCTCACTGTCTCAGAAAGGTCTGAACTGGACTCAGTATGCTTTTTCATTGTGAAGACCTATGCCTATCATCAATTTAGGAAAAGTCTTAGATGTTGTCTCTTCAAATACTGACTCTCTCCCATTCTAAATATCCTTCTCTGAATTTCTCCACATTTCTTAATGGCTTTTATTTGTTATTTTTCTGTTTATCTAGTATTCCCTGGGTGATTTCCCTAAAGAATTCAAAATTCATCAAGTCTTTTTTAGTTCTGTTATTTCTTGTTTAATGAATTTTTTAAAAATGAAACTCAATGGAGGTCCTAAACATTCCTGTATGAAGTTTTTCTGTTATCTGTATTTCTTTAATTTACTCTGGCTATTTGACAGTACTTTTTTCTTTGATGGTTATCCTAAGATTTTCATGACTGTCTCATGAGAATTTCAACATATTCTACTTTGCAGAAGCTTCCTTGAGGAGGTCAGGTTTTTCTTCCTAAGTGATACTTGGAGATACAGAATTCATGGATGGTGTGAATTAGTGTACTGAACCATATTGGGCTATTTGGTGAAGGCTTAAGGTTCATATTTCTCTACAGGGTTTTTCTTTCTTTTCACCCGTATCTCTAAGTCAGTTTAAGTGCTTGAGATTCCTATAGCTCTTAAGTGTTCCTTGCCCATGTGCACTTCTGAAGCAATTTCCCTGATGCATCTCAATATCTAGTGCTAACAACTTCTACTGTTCCCAAGTCATGGGTAGTGTGGTCTTCGAGGTTTCCAAGGTTTACAGAAGGAGTTTAGTTCTATCTTTCCAGGAGATCTCAACTCCTAACAAGTTGATGTGTTTTACTGGTTTATTGTGTATACCCTCAGAGTTGTTGAAATTTAGTTTCTATTTACCTTTTGTATTTCAAATTTTCTTTAAAATATTGTTAGAAATGTCCCTTTTCTCCTTAATTTTAGGTTGTATTTTGTGTTTATATTTATTTTTCACAATTTGTCTGTTTGTGAGCTAGAAGGAGAAATTACCCTGACAACCCAGATATTGGTTGATTATCTAGAAGTTACTGTTGATTTTAAATCACAGCCTATAGTAATTTATCAGTGGATACAACATTAAAACCTGAAGATCAGAATAAAGCATTCTATATCAAGCATCTATCGAGTATTCTGTGCTGGAAAGTGATGAGGAAAACAAATCTAATTTTTTTGTTCCTCTCCCTTGTTGGAGATTTGAAATTTATGATCTTTATGAATATGGCATATAGGTAAATAAGGATTTTATTAACTCCTATGCTTTAATTTAGAATTATTTTGAAATTATTTGTTAATAGTGATTTAGTGGTATAAAAAATCTAATGCAGGTTATTAAATGGTCTAACATTTATTCATTATGGGGAAGCCACTTCTTTTTTAAATTGGTATTAATTTGGAAGCATTATTTCTCCTCGTATTTAGATCCAGATCAGAAAGTATCAGCCAAACAGATACTAGCAGGTGAGTAAATGAGATATTTCTGAGGTGAGGTGATAACTGTGGTTTTCAGTTGCATTTTTACAATGATTAGTGACATTGAGCATGTTTTCTATGTACCTATTGTTATACCATATGTATATCTTCTTTTGAAAATTGTCTATTCAGATCTCTTGTCCGTTTAAAAATAAAATTAGTATTATTTTGTTACTGAGTTGTTTTAGATTCTTATATATTCTGGATATTAACTCCTCATCAGATGCAGTTTGCAAATATTTTCTCCCATTCTGTAAGTTGTATCTTTGCACAACTTTTTCTTTCTTTCATTCTTTCTTTTCTTTCTCTTTCATTCTTTCTTTTCTTTTTTTCTTTCTTTCTTTCTTTCTTTCTTTCTTTCTTTCTTTCTTTCTTTCTTTCTCTCTCTCTCTCTCTCTCTCTCTCTTTTTTCTTTTTTTAGAGATTTTTGCTATAGGGTGCATGCGCTTGCTGGAAAGACAGGGAGAAAGTGAAAAATCACCCCCCTGGGGGGATGGTCATACTACAGTCCCATCACCATTTTCTTCTCAGGATTTTGGGCACACACACACCTGCCCTCAGTGTGAGTTTCAAGCCACTGGGTCTAGAACTCGAACTGTAGTCTACCATGTAGGAGTCCAGCACCTTAACCACTGCACCATCAGTGCCTTAGCCATTGTGCCACCTGTTGGTACCTAAACCTAAGTTTAAAAGAGGAGGATATTGCCATATAACTTTTTTTGACAATGACAGTGAGAGTATATGAGCCTAAAAGTATTATTTCATTATTTACTTAGATCCAAATCAGAAGAAAGCACCAACACACAGAACAGTAGGTATGTACATGGGGAAGTGTTCCTGAGAATAAATATATGCTTGAAATTAAATAAAGTTCATAAATTAATTCCTTAATATTTATTGGGTAAATCAATTGGTATCGTACTGATAAATCACCTGCCAATCTTACTAATCTCATTATTAATGAGTATTTAAATCACTTGGTATGTTTTTTCTTGTTTAGTAAAACTCTCTTGAGTTTATTGGTAACTTGCTCTTATTGATAGAATGGAATTAAAGAACCTAATAAGGTCTAAGATCTGTAAATTTGTTTATAAAAGAAACTCATAATCGGCGCCATTTTATCCATTAGGCCCTGTAGGCAAGATGCATAAGTCCTATGACTTTTCAAAGGCCAATAAAACTGCTTACAGTATGAAAAACCAAAAATGATTGGCTCTAAGATTTGAGAAGAGCACAATTGAAAATGTATTTAAATACTGGAAAAATATTAAATTATAATATTCATAAACATTTCATTTTATTTACGCCTCATGTGAAGTGTTTCAAATTTTTTTATTTGCAAGTATTTCTGATTAAAAATGATAGTTACCCCCAAATCATGGAAAATCATAAGGTTAAATAAGTTACTCATTTCATAAGCAAAGCAGTAGGGATTCTTTCAACAATTGTATTTTTTACCGCATGAAATTTTCACTTGGCAGTACCTCAAGTGTTTGAATATCTTGAGTATGTGTGTTTTTGTTCTCTTTCACAGTGACTAGGAATTACTCCAGAAGGCAATGGACAAAATCGAAGGTCTCACCGAGAAATGGAAATTCCACCCTTTCTCCCCTGGTCACAGCTGAAGGAAACAATAAACCGAGTGTGGACTGATTCCTGTGCCAGTTTTTTTTTTAATCTCTTCCGCTTCCTCCACCTCAGAATTCAACACCTGGGGTTGCATTTCTGCCACTTCAGTGCCCTTCACTGAACATAGCCATCCAAGGTCGGGCATCTCTATCCCCATTCAATCTCTGAGCTCTTCCCGCTGTCTTGTCTGTAGCTGTCCCTCCACTTACCAACCTCTTTATGGCTTAATAACATAAAAAAAACCCCACGCATTTGTTTATTAATTTCTTCCATGACAGACACACACACACACACAGAGAGAGAGAGAGAGAGAGACAGAGACCCCCACAGGTTTTCATGCTGTGGACCATCCAGACTTTAGCCACCTGGATCTCACGCCGAGCACATACAGGAAGACCTTGAGAAGTGAACCTGGGACCTCGTTGAGTGCCGCATTACTGCTGTGCCACTGTCTGCTGCCCTTCCCTTTCTCAGTTACTGCCTGGAGCCCCAGAGACATCAGCACTGTGACTCAAGACCAGCTCTGGGTAGTAAACCATGTTTCCCCCTGCTGGTCCTTCTCACTGGATGTGACTGGCTGTGTGAATCCACACATGCACACTGACCTCCCCATGACCCTGACCAGGGCTTCCAAGGCAGGCTGTGTCCACCTCATGGTCTACACTTTGTAGTCAGGGTCCCTGGCTCTACCCTCCTTCCCTTTCCTTTGTCTTTTTAGTTGGTGACCCAGACTACCAAGCATAGAAGTTGGAGAGGCAGCCTCTGAAAAACCCAGAGGGCGTGGGGCAGAGACTAACTCCTTACCAGAGACTGGTGTAAGCATTGATGAATGGATTAGGAAAATGTTTTCTCATTTTCCATCTTGTGAAAGGACTTTTGTAAAATTATTTAGTTTTTCAATTAATTGTTTGGCAAAATTCACCAATGAAATTCTCTAGAACTTGGAGAGTCTTTTTTTGGTGGGGAGATTTTAAATGAAAGATTCAATTTCTTTGACAGGTGCAGCACTATTCAATTTTTCCACTTATTCTTGCAATAGTGTTGTTTGGATATCAAACTTTTTAAATAGAGGTATTTGCAATAGAGTGTGTGTACTCCTTGGAGACACACAGAGAGACAGAGAGACAGAAATCAAGGAATCACCTCCCAGGGTGGATGGCCATATACCAATCCCTTTGCCTGCACTTTGGGCATGCACACACATGTGCCCAGCATGAGTTTGAACTACCGGGTCTGGGACTTGAACCACAGTCAACCATGTGAAGTCCAGCATCTTAACCAGTCTGCCATCTGCTGGCCCTCCTCTTTCATTTCTGATAATACTTATCCTCTCTTTGTTTGTTCTTGCTAATGGTTTACCTATTTAATTAAGTCACTAATCTCTCCAGATGTCACTGGCTTTTTATTGTTTTTATCTATGGCATTCTGTTTTCTATTTCACTGGTTTCACCTTTTGTAAGTGTCTCTTTTCCTAGCTTACTGAGGTGAAAGTTTAGATTACTGATTTAAAATTTTTTTCCTAATGCATTTGAAGGTATAAATTTCCTTGATTTACTTCTTGACCTGCATTCCACAAATTTTAATGTTGTATCTTTATTATTGTTCAAGTCAAAGTATGTTTTAATTTTTATTTTGTTATCTATGCTGAAGTATGGATTACTTAGAGTTCTGGGTTTTTTTTTGTAATTTAAAAAAAAAGTACTATTTATTTAATTTGATTATTGTTGATTTGTTCTAGGGCACATGCACTCACCAGAAAGAGACAGACAGAGAGAAAGCAAAAGCAAGCCACCTGGTCCGGGATTGAACTGCGGTTGGCTGTGTAAGAGTCCAGCACCTCAACCACTGCCATCACCTGCTGGCCCCTAGAAGTCTCTTCATTTTCTAAATATCTAGGTATTTTCAATTTATCCTTTTCTTCTTAATTTCTTAATCATGGTCAGAGACCATACATACTTAAATTATCGTCTTGCTATGGCAGTGCCTCTGGCCTAATTTGTCGAGTGTCTTACGTGCACTAAAATGTGAATGTGCATTTCGTCATTGTTGAATATATCAGTGTGGGGCTTGCTAGCACTGCTTTGGACATCATCTTAATGCATTTTTTTCTCCTATCAGTTATAGAGGGAGGTACATTGAAATGGACACCTGTAATGTTTTCGTGATTATTATTGTGGTATATTCTTTGTTTTGGATTGTTTTGATACTGCCATTTTTTTTTTTTTGGGTTGTTTTGTAAACGCCCTTTTTTTTTTTTTTTTTTTTTTTTTTTTTTTTTAACAGTTAGCCTTTGCATGGGATGGATATCTTTCTGCATCCTTTTACTTTGAATGCTTACTTGTATTTAAAATGTATCTGTTGTAAGCAATATGCAGTTGGTTTTTGTTTTGTTTTGTTTTGTTTTAAATCCAGTCTAGAAATGTTTTTTAATTTTGATGTTTTAAGCAAGAAATCACCCCCTAGTGGGGATAGCCATGTCACAATCCCTTCTCCTCCATTCTCCTCTTGGGGTCTTGGGCACGCACACACACGTGCCCAGCGTGAGTTTAAGCCACCAAGTCTGGGACTTGAACTGTGGTTGACTACATGAGAGTCAAGTGACATAGCCATTACACCAACTGCTGGTCCCTAAAGTATTATATTTAATGTTATGTCTTGTTATACTGCTGACTTTAACTCTGCTCTTTGCTGTTTTTCTATTTGTCACATTTTTTGTTCTTTTAAGTCTTCTGCAGTTATTTCAGGTTAATTGAGCACGGATCTATTTTTTCTTTTCTATGGGCTTTTTAAAATTTTTATTTCTTCCATGAGTGAGATATACACACACACTCACACCCCAACAAGGTCTTGACATTGTGTCCTTCTTTCCTCAGCCTTCAGTCACTCTCAAACCATGGGCCAGTGCATGCCCAGTGTGCTCAGGGAAGTCTCTGTACTTGAACTGGAAACTTTGCCATGTGAGACCACATCATAGCGCTGTCACATTCCACCGCTGCACCACTGTCCAGCTCCTCCATGGCTTTTTAGATGTCTGTACAAAATCATTATTATGGTCGAATACCCCTTATCTAAAGAACTTTGGACCAGAAGTGATTTGGGTTTGGGTGTTTTGGGATTTGGGTATATGTGTATGTACATTCTGAGATATCTTGAGATGGGACCCACATCTAAACACTGATATTTCATAGACACTGTGTATCCATAGCCTGAAGGTAAACTTATACAATATTTTAATATGAAATAAAATTTACATATGTTGAACCATCAGAAAGCAAAGGTGTCATTGTTTCTGCCACCTGTGTGTACAGTGGCAATGGGACCATCACTGGTTCTGATGTGTAGGTGAAGGATAAGCAAGCTTTTTTTTACACTTATTCACATGTACGTACTTAACAATAATTACATACAATTGCTGCAGTGAAAAAAAATATGTCCATGGAAACTGAGCAGCACAATCATATGACCAAAATACCTGTATCTGTTGTTAAAAAACAATGTTATGTTTTGATTTGTTAAAGCAAATTTAACTTTGACTTGGGAAAGCCTCTGCATGCACATATTTGAACTCTTATGTACAAACTGCAACATAACTTAGTATGTGAATAAACTGAAAACCTAACTCAGGAATATACTTCTGGGAGAAATACTGGAGTTGCAGTCCATGGTGGTAGCTCGACTTCCAGTCAGTCACAGACAACCAGCTGTTCAAACCATATTCTGATATGGTGAACACAGCCAGAGCCTATCCAGCTGTTTCTCCACTTCGCTTCTCTTTTCTATACACAATTGCTAACCATTTGGCGGGCTTGGAGGTCCTCACAATCAGTTCTGTTGGCTGACAGATTTGTGAATCATTCTAGGCTCAATTAAACTCCAGTAACTTAAATTTGAAGTTTTTCTTTTAACAGATTAGATTTAGAAGTAGGATCCAAAATAGAGCTTCTGGTGACACCCAGAAATAGTAAGTGACCAAGTGAGGTACCTATCCAGTCTTGTGTCCATCACCCTCTTGCACCATCTGGAATAGTGGGTAAGTACACTATTGGATTCTGAGCTCCATAGATTTGTGTTTAGAATGCCTTAAGCTTATTTGAACAGTTTCAATCTGAATTGGGTTTGGACAAGGTCCAGGATCAGATTGGGTTCAATAAGGAATTGAATTGCATCTAGCTGTCTCATTGAGTCAGGGAAAAAAAGGGCAATACATGGTGATTGCTACTGTAGGTGTGAAACTTGACTTTCAGTAGTCAGCAGGATTTTGTGTTGTTTTCTTTCTTGAGTACTTAGGGACTATCAGTTAAGGTGGTCAAGTGGCTCTCAGAGCCAAAGCCCCAATGTGGCATTTCCCTTTTACTCTTTTTATTTTAGCTGCAAGAGACTTGAAACTTTTTTTTTTTTTCCGAAATAAGAAAAAAAAATTTCAGAAATCTTAAATGAGTTAAGATATGAAGAGTTAAGATATGAAGAAGCTTGCACTGAGACATATTATGAATCAATTATCAAAGGTTAAAGACAAAGGTAATTTTGAAAGCAACAAGAAAAAAGTGACATCTCATACACAGACACAGATATAAGACTATAAGTGAATTTCTCAGCACAAACTTAGTAGGGAAAATAATATAGAATGATATATTAAAAGTACAAAAAGAAAAACTGCAAAGTAATAATACTACACTGCACAAAATTATCCCTTAAAAATGAAGGTGAGATAAAATCTTTTCCAAAGAAAAAATAATGGAGTTCATCATGCATTACAAGAAATGCATAATAGACATAAGAATGTAAAGCTCTTGGGGCCAGCAGATGGTGTAATGATTATGTTGCTGGACTCCCACATGGCCACCTGTGGTTCGAGTCCCAGACTTGGTGGCTTCAAACTCAGGCTGGACGTGTGTGTGTGCACACGCACGTACCCAAAATCCTGAGAGGAGAAGGGATTGCAGTGTGGTCATCGTGAAAAATAGTACCAGAGGTTCCTCAAAAAATTTAAAATAAAACTACTTTTTGATCCTAGGTATATACCCTAACAAAATGAAATCAGTATGTTGAAGAGAGAGTAGCCGCACTTCCAGGTTCAGTGCAGAACGATTCCCAGTAACTAACATACGAGAGCAACCTAACTGCCCAACACCTGATGAATGGATACAGGAAATGGACTGCAGATACGCAGTGGAATACAATTCAGCTGTGGAAAATGGATGGGTTTCTGTTACTGGAGGCAAAATGGACACACCTGGGGGAAACAATGCTCAGTTATATAACCCAGTCACTAATACCGTATGTCCTTACTGGTGAAAGGTAAAAGATTTGATCCCATTTAGAAATGAAGAGTGTAATGGTGGATACCAGAAGCTGGAAAGCGGAAAGGGAGATACGGAAAACGTAGCTGACAGATACAAGAGTGTCCTTAGAATCAACAGAATGGGTTATACAATACTGCAGCACAGTAAAGACCATTTAGACGGATAAATACAGGGTTAGAATATTTCAGATCGAGAAAATTATTCTTCTTTTGGCGTTATCCCTCACCATCCCAACCGTAATAGTAATATTGTCTAAATATTTGATCCTGAGTTATTAGATATATGTTCTCATTATTGATTTTATAATTTTGCTTCTTACACATAAACTTTAGAAAGATATTTCATTACTGGAGCCAGCAGCTGGTGTGGTGGTGAAGGCACTACACTCCCATGTGGTTGACCATGGTTTGTGTCCCTGACCTAGTGCCTTGAAAACCATGCCAGGCATCTGTGCGTGTGTGCCAAGATCCCAGTAGGACAACAGAGGAGAAGGGATTGTGGCAGGGCCACCCTCCAGTCTCCCTCAACCCCATGATTTCTCACTTTCCTGGTTTTTCTCCGGCCAGAAAACATGTCCTATGGCTAAAACCTCAAAAAAACAAGAAAAATGCTTGATTATTGTTATTTGTGATATATTTAATAGCATTTCCAGTTTCACTTGTCATGTGGTTACTTCTATGGAATGCCTTTACAATATGGATTTTATGTCAAAACTTTGAATTTACATACTAAATATTTCAGAGTTGTTTTCCGTGAGCATTTAATGCTATTAACCCATTGACTTTATGCACCCAGTATGGCTGTTAATGTTGATCTGATCTTTGTTCCTTGGTAGGTGACCTGGTCTCCTCTTTCCTATTTCTGTCATTTTAAATTTCAGTTTGTGTGTGTGTGTGTGTGTGTGTGTGTGTGTGTGTGTGTTTCCCCTTCAGTTCTCAGTTTGTAATCTCTGTAGTCTTTCAATCTGGGGTCATTGTTTTATGTTTTTTTTTTTTTTTAATTTTACAAACTTTTTTCCATTATCCTTTTAAATATTTCCTCTTGTTTTGATTTTTCTCTCCTTTTGAAAATGCTCTTACTATTTTATTTCTTAATTTTAGTTCTGTGTGTCTTTCTCTATTCCTTTGAAGAAGAATTTGTTAATCTGTTATTCAAAATTATAATTTATTAAGGATTTGTACGCATTGTGCTATTTACTTCACCTATCGTGAGCACTAGCTGGGGCTATTAGAGAAGATGTTTTGAGTGTGTATTTGATCAGAATTGTTTGGAGTATTTCACATTCAGCAACTGTCCTTTAAAGGCATAGCCAAACTTTAAGGCAATCACACAGCGTTTGCAACGTCATTTTTTCTTTTTCTTCCCCCCCCCACATGCATTTTGCCTGTTCTAGCCCAACTGCTCGAACTGATAAAAAATGAGAAATGCGAAGCCCGCCTTTCTTTTTTTTTTTTTCTTTTGGAGAGGTTTTCACTATAGGGTGCATGCGCTCGCCAGACAGAGAAAGACAGAAAGCGAGAAATCACCCCCAGGGGGGATGGTCACGGTGCAATCCCTTCTCCTCCATTCTCCTCTCGGGATCTTGGGCACGCACGCACACGCGCCCGGTGTGAGTTTTAAGCCACCCAGTCAGGACCGCGGTGACCACCTGGGAGTCCAGCGACATAGCCATTACGCTAACTGCTGGTTCCCAAAGCCCGCCTTTCTTGCACAGTAAACTGGCGGCTCCTGCACGCCTCCCCCCTGCAGGAGCTGGCGGGTCGACGGGCTCTCTCCGCTGCGCTGCACTCGCCGTTGCCTGCGGTTCTGCGTCTCGTGCGGCTCAGCCACGCGGCGCGACCTGCGCCCCAACCACAGTTACTCGGGCCGGGCTCTAAGACAGCGGAGCCATGTTCTTCCTCCTGGTGCTCCTCACCAGCGTCAGCGGGCTGCACTCAGGCCCCTGTAAGTCCGATCCGGGCGTGGGAGGGTGCTTCGCGCACTCAGGGGGCTCCATTTTCGCGCCCAGGTCCAGGCCCGGACTTCCCCCTGCTTCCTCCGTGTTCCCAACCCCTTTTTAGAGTCCTTGCAGGAAGGGGCAGAGGGGCAGCGTTAGGCAGGAAACCTTTTTACTTCTCTGGGATCCTTTCTGTCCATTTGGACAGAAAGGAAAGGTGTTTCTGTTTGCTTGTTTTCCCACATTCAGAATTCTGCTACTCTAGGCACCCACTGCACCACCAAAGAGAAACTTCGCTATTTCCTGATTTGGCAGCAGCCCTCGTCCCCTGGCGCCATTGACCATCTCAGTCATCCTTGCAGCCAGTCTTCCCTGGTTGCGCCAGCGAGCTCACCCCCTTGATGCGTTTGCGTTTTCTCACGTCCACACCTCTCTCGACAGCATTTTTCTTTGGTACTTGGTACAAACTTAGTGGAGTTGTCAAATTCCCAGACTTTCTCACTGTGCGTGTGTGTGCGTGTGTAGACAGAGAGGGGAGAGAAAGAGAATGACAGATGTGAGAACTTGACATAGGGCCTGAAATTTATGGATAAGAACGACAATAGCGTGGAAAGGAAGAGATCTACAATAGGTCATTTTTTTTTAAAATAGCTGCTATTGCACAATTAGAAATGGGTAATGCAAGATTACGAGTACCAAAGTCACAGCTCTTGTTCTTTTCAGCTCCTGATAAAGTCCTCCTGCAAACCACAGTTCCTGAGAAGATTTCATCAGTAGACACCAAAAGAGATCCAGAAAATAATGTAATTGAAGAATAATACTTTTATGTCTTACATTCCAAGTTGCCTTTAATATCAAGACCAAAGTTGCTGAAAATAAGCACAAACATCTTTCTTGGACGCAGAGCTGAGACTCAGCATGGGTGTTTCTGTTGAGGATGAAGGAGTTTAGGGAAAGTATGCCCCAGGGCCAGGATTTTAGGTTCCTCCAAGTGCTGTGTGTGTATGTGATTTAAGTTTCCATGTTAAAAAAATACATATATTGGGACCAGCAATTGGCATCATGGCTATGTCACTGGGCGCTCATGTAGTCGGCTGCAATTAGAGTCCCGGATCCGGTGGCTTAAACTCACGCCAAGCACTTGTGCGTGGATGCCCCAGATCCCGAGAAGAGAATGGAGGAGAAGGGATTGTGGCATGGCCATTCCCCCTGGGGGCAGATTTCTCGCTTTCTGTCTCTCTCTGTCTTTCTGGTGAGCACATGTGCCCTATAGCATAAACCTCTCCAAAAAAGCCCCACATATATACGTTAATTGACAAGTGAGATGTACAGTCTTGATACTTGCTTTTTTTTTAAAGTTTGTTATAGGGTGCAAGCACTCACCAGAGACAGAGACAGGGCGAGAGAAAGTGAGAAATCACGCCCTAAAGGGGATAGCCGTGCCACAATCCCTTCTCCTCCATTCTCCTCCTGGAATTTTGGCACACATACATACTTATTGGCATGGTTTTCAAGCCGCAGGGCCCAGGACTTGAACTGCATAGTCGGTCATGTGGGATCCAGCCACCTTAACCTGCGTGCCCCCTGCTGGCCTGTAGCATGGCCAACTTGTGGGGCTGTCTAAGCCTTAAAAGATAACAGTCCCAGGGCACCGTGAGCGACGTGAGTAGCAGGCATGTGGACACCTAACGTCTCCGTGCCCAGTTCCGAATCTCTAAGTTGCAAATATCCATGCATGAAGGGAAGCAAAGAAAATGGTTATATATTACTGTTAATTTTGTTAATGGCTTTAGACCTAATTCGGAGAAAATACATTATTTAGCACGTATCATTTCCAAGCATTGTTATCAAATGTTGGGGGATATTCTCATTGCAGGTTGCCTATATGATTTCCATAGAAGAAAAACCATATTTTATCTACCTCAAAAAGCAGTAAGTAATTATTCTCTCCCTTCAAGTTTTATTTCTTTGGTTTCTTGATTTTTAAAGATAGTTGTGAACACAATACTTTCAATCAAAATATATTGATACCTGTTATATATTGAGTTCAGCCAAGTCCTAAGCCTATGAAAGAGAATAAAACACAGTGCAGTTAGTTTTGAACCCAGGAAGATAGATTCAGACACATTAATAGACAAACAGAGAATTTTATTGCAATGTTATTATATGTGTAAATAGTAGTGAAAAGTCAGGGAAGGCTTTTTGGAAAGTGTTAAGAAATGAGTTAAGGGAGGACGTTTGGTTAGCTATGTGAAGAAGTGGGATGGGATGGGGTCCTTCGATTTAGAGAGACAGTGCTGGCCACACATGGGGATCTGAGAAAGACGCATTTCCTTGATGTGCAGAATGTCCATGTGGATTACTAAAGCACATATTTTCTGATGGATAGGTGTAAAACACCCTGAAACTGAAAGCAGGAGCCAGGTTGTAGAAGATCTATTATATAATGCTGGAGAAAGGCTATTAGGAGCAAAAAAACCTGACTTTAAGCATGTATGAGGGAGTCTTTAGAAAATTCACAATGTATATTACGAAAATGCTGTGCCTAGATTTCAAATACTTTTTGCACCAAACTTAATGCTCAGATTTTCCCATAAACCTTTTGGAGGCCCCTCCTATTTGTGTAATCTCTTTGATCTTTGCAGGCTGTTCTTGAGAGGACAAGAGTAGGTAGAGATGGGGTGACCAATGCTACGACTATACAGTAGCTTAGGTGATGGTAGCTTGAGTAATGGCGTCAGTCATAGCAGTGGAAAAATAAATTCAGTAGACCTCAGGACAGGTGTGGCGGAGTGATGACGAAACAGCGAGAAATCGCTGATAATTTGGTTGTTGCTAAAGAAAATGGGATTGTGGGCCAGCTTTGTGGTCTGGTGGTTCAAGGAGGCAGATCTCACATGGCTGATCCCACGGTTCGAATCCTGGGTCCAGCGACTTGAGAAATATACCAGTTGCATGTGCCTGCATGCCTTACATCTGAACAGGATGGGGAGACGGAGGAGAGATGGCAGCATGACTGTGGTCCATTGGGAGGTGATTTCTCCCCCTCATTCTCTGTTTCTCTGTCTCTCTGGGCTGAGTGCACATCCTCTGGGGGAGGGTCAAAAGATTAGGTGATAGTGTAACTAAATGAGGGCTATGAATAAGGAAGGTATTTGGGCTGTAGGGAGGGCATGGATTTCTTTTGTAGTGTGAGGTATCCGATTGGGCTGTTTTTTGCTATGTAGATGAGTATAGGAGTTTGAACCTTTGAGGAGATCCAGTAGGGATATAGACTGAAAAGTAAGCAGTAACTTGGCTACATTTTTTTTTTTCCAATGACAGCTCATACATAGGGTGCTTATTAAAAGATTAATGACCAAAGACTGAAAAACCAGTGTTTCTGGGATAGGTAGAACAAAAAAGTAGCTGTATCGAAGATCAAACTACAAGGCAGGAAGAGAAGCATAAGCCTAAAGTACAATAAAAATTCAGTGATTGGACTGAATGGTAAGAGTTTTCAAATAGAAGTTACAAGTCCCGTGCAGTGGTAATTTTAAAAATATCTTTGGGATTTGACATTCTGGTAGTTATAGATCTTTTCCAGAGGAGCTTTAGGGTAAATAAGAATTGAAAAAGTGAAGGAAATTTGTCTAGACTATTATTTTGAGAAAATGTGTTGAGAATTGAAAATGTAAGGAATGGTAGCAGTAGGACACACGTCAAGGAAGGGTTCCTAGGATAATAATGACTTCTTAACCTTTTGAATAGCATAAGGATAAAACTCCAGGAGAGAGGAAGAATTGGAAATGATAGAAAAACAAAAACAGAACAGCTATGTATCTCCAGTTTATTATACAGGATGGGATTTATAGCACAGATGTCAGAGTTAGCACTGGATAAAAGAAGAACCCTCTGGAAATAAAAATAAAAGGTGAGGATGAGCATAGGGGATCTAAGAGTGAGGACAGTGAGCTTATGGGGGCTGATGCACAGGAGCGGCAGCAAGGTTTTGAGTAGTTTCTGAGGGTAAGGGAAGAGAATGCTGATTATTCAGGGTTATTGAAAGGACTTGGCACTTAGCCAAGCTTTGTGGGTGTGAATTTGTGATGAGACTATGCATAATGCTCTAATTGGTACCCTAACCCTACATTTTAATATTGAGAGTCAAGTATAAAATCTGAAACCAATGAGTGATAAAGACAGAGTTGGAAGTTCAGTGCTGGAAATCGAAGACTATGTTACTTTGATATTTCTAACCATTTGGATTGTTCTTTCTCCTGTATTTTAGAATTATATTGTCACTGTGGTTACAATGCTTTCCACAGTATCTACATTATTTTAAGTGATAAGAAAATATTTGGACAACAGTACCAAGATGATTGGCACTATTTTAAATTTCTCAGTAAAAAAAAATTGGAAGAATATGAAGAATAGTTTTAATGCCTCTTCTGTTTTGTAACTTGAGCATGGTTTTGTCATTTTTGCTTAGATCATTTTTATCCTCAAGTTTTGTTGTTTATTATTACGACAAATATGACACCCAGCATTCTAAGCCTTTGTTAGCTCAGGTAAGACTCGATTTTTCCTTACAAATTTGTTATTCTGAACTTTGTTTTAACAGAGGGTGGCGGTGGGGGGGTGGGGAGGGTATCCAGCAGGTGTCAGGTAAGACTCGATTTTTCCTTACAAATTTGTTATTCTGAACTTTGTTTTAACAGAGGGTGGCGGGGGGGGGGTGGGGAGGGCATCCAGCAGGTGCAGCAGGTGGCATAGTGGTAAAGGCACTGGACTCCACATGGCTGACTGGGGTTCAAGTTCTGGACCTGGCGGCTTGAAACACACACCGGGCCTGTGTGTGTGCCCCAAATCCCGAGCGACGAATGGGTGAGAAGGATTACAGCATGGCCATCGACCCCAGGGGGGATTTCTGACTTTCTATTTGTCTCTGTGGTGAGTGCACAAGTATTCTATAACTAGATTATTTTATATATTCACTGAACTCAAGTAACTTGAACTCCTGTTTATTTCTATTCAGTACAGATTCAGTGAGTAATTGCCAATCATACTGAAGTACTAAGATAGTGAAAGTAAGCAATATAAATGACATCTCTGGGGTGTTCATTTAAAAAATAAGCGATCCATTCATTTGTTTTGCTCTGTGTCTTATTCTTTCAGATGGATTGCAATTATAATGGATATATTGTGGGTTATCCAAATTCTCTTGTGACACTCAACACCTGTTCAGGACTCAGGTTGTAGACTCTGTAAAGATACTCAATTTACCGACACTGTATCCTGTTGGCCTGTGAATTAATCCTCCTTTTCTATTAGTCTATCTTTTCTAGCTTTATAACCACCTTTGTTATTCTGATCCTCTAAGGATGGATCGCGGTTACCAGTACATAGCATTGGTTCCTCTGGCAGCGTATGTTCCGGTGGGAGGCTCCGGGCTCCCCGGCACCGGCAGAGTTGCTGGTTAAGGCTTTGAGCAGCCTTCAGTGCAGGGGGTGTTAATTAGTCTCTCTATACCTTAGTTTTCTCAGCTTCTGTTTTCATCTGATTTCTAAGTTTCCTCGAATAATTGACAGTTACAAAAAGACCCAAAACTGGTAGCCACTGTGGCTCTATACTCGGTGATTTTCAGGCATGAATGGCCTTTAGTTTAGCCCGCACAAGCAAATGACAGAGGCTGTAACGGGTCAGCGATGATCCAGGAGCATCAAAGAGAAAAGACCTCAACTAAGGAAAAGAGTGCCTACGGGCCTCCCAGGTGTTTTCAGAAAGTCTGTGTCCTTTGGAGAGGGGCCTCAACCAGTTTAAGCACACTGGTACATGCTACTACCATGCTCTTTCTTTAAGATAACCAAAAAGGGGTCAGCAGGTGACATGGTGGTTAAGGCTCTGGACTTCTATATGGCCAGTCACAGTCTGAGTCCCAAACCCGGCAACTGGAAACTCACGGTGGGCACCTGTGTGCGTGTGTGCCCCGAATCCTGAGAGGGGAATGGAGAAGGAGGGATTTCAGCATGGCCACTCCTCCTGGGGGATGATTTCTCACTTCTCCTCTCACTGTCTCTCTCTTCTTTCCAGTGAGTGTGTTCTCCCTATGGAAAAAGCCTTAAAAAAAAGATACTCCCCCCCCCCAAATTGTTAGATATGCACTATGCAGCCTGTGGTATAGTACTTTAGTTCTGGAGTGAGACTTCAAAAAACAGAGAAATAAAGTGGGAAAACTAAGATGACTTTAAATCTTAAAAAAAAAAAAAAGAAAGAAAAAGTAAAAAAAAGAAAGTCAGCCCCCAATTTTTTATTAGCATATTAAATAATAGTTTTGGTAGAATCATTTCAAATTTGTTCTGGTTCTTTTAACATTCAGGGGAACCATGCAGTTTAACAACATTTCATATGGAATCGAACCAGTGGAGGCCGTATCAGGATTTGTGCACATGATTTATGAAGAGAAAATCGATTATACTCATATTTCTCTCTTAGAAAAGGATGCCTATGCTTGGTTTAATAGCTCACGGTTTCAAGTCAGAACAAATTTAGATGTAAGTATTCTTTTAACTTATTCGGTATTATTTTGTGAAATCAAAAATACTTTCGGGGTCCAACTTGATTGATGACTTATAAACATTAAGATTATTTTACTTTTTTATGAAGGTGCTACGTGATTTCTCCGATGGCTATGGAGTACACTTAAGCTCATCGTCATGCTTGTTATTAGTTGAAAGTTTAACAAAATCTTACATAATTAATCTTGGAAACAGAAGTGACCGTAGGACTAAAAGAAAACCAAAACAGGGACCAGCAGTTAACGTAATGGCTACATTGCTGGGCTCCCATGTAGTTGACCGTGGTTCGAGTCCTGGACCCGGTGGCTTAAACTCACTCTGGGTGCGTGTGCGTGCGTGCCCAAGATCACTAGAGGAGAATGAAAGACAAGGGATGCAGTGTGGCCATCCCCCCAGGGGGTGATTTCTTGCTTTCTGTCTCTTTGTTTCTCTCTGTCTTTCTGGTGAGTGTACACACCCTATAAGAAAAACCTCTCAAAAAAACCTCAAAACAAAACAAAAAACTAAAACACTAATTTTCATTTGGGAGCATTTAATTAATTAATGTAAAAATATTGTTTTCCCCAGTTGGATAATTGAGGTGAAAATATTATGGGATCTGGGGAACCAGCAGTTAGCGTAATGGCTATGTCACTGGACTCCCACATAGATGACTGCGGTTCGTGTCCCGGACCCGGTGGCTTAAAACTCACGCTGGGCATGTGTGTGTGCGTGCCTAAGATCCCGAGAGGAGAATGGAGGAGAAGGGATTGTGGCGGCCATCCCTCCTGGGGGGGTGATTTCTCGCTTTCTGTCTCTATGTCTCTCTCTGTCTGTCTGGCGAGCGCACGCGCCCTACAGTGAAAATCTCTCAAAAAAAAAAAAAACAGGTGGTACCAGTGGTTTACATAAGGTACATGTAAACACAGTAATGAAGTTTTTTTCGCAGATCTGTTAATACCGTGAGTAACATACAGGTCTCAAGTAAACTGTCATAGATTGTCAACGTCAGTAATACTTGCCTAAACTATCTTGTTTGCTAAAAGTAAATTCCTAATGATTGCAGAAATTTTGTTCACATGAAAAATTAGTATGAAAATTGTTCCAAGGCAAAGGAAAACAAAGCTTTATGTTATAAACTTAACTTTTCCAATTGCAGTTGTTGCAAAACTAAAAGATACTTGGGTTTCTTTATTATTTTTTTTGGGAGCTTTTTGCTATGTGCATGTGCTCACTAGAGAGACAGAGAGACCAAAAGTGAGAAATCACCCCTTGGGAGGATGGCCATGCTGCAATCCCTTCTCCTCTGTTCTCCTGGGATCTTCAGCACACATGCTTGTCCACCTGGTAATAGTTTGAAGCCACCCAGTCTGGGACATGAACCATGGTTGGCCATGTGGGAGTCCAACCACATAACCATTGCACCATCTGCTGGCTCCAGATACTTGGGTTTTTAATATAGCTTAGGAAGTCTAACTGAAAATTCCTAACATGCGGAACACTTGTTGAACCAAAGACTTCTGGAAAGTATCTAACTTTTATTTTAAAACAGTTGCATTATGTAATCAATAGCAACATATCTTCCAGGTTTTTTTTTGAATATAATTTCAGCAGAAGGTAAATTTTTGTAAAGTCCTCAGTACTCACATTGTTTGTTTTTCAGAGAACTGGACTTACCAAGTTATACCCTCGAAGTCTTAAAATGTATATTATTGTGGATAACGATCTGGTAGGTTCTATTTTATGCATTATTATTTTAAAATGAATGAACATTTGTCTTTAACTTGATTTCAATGATGCAGTGAAAATAATTACAATGAAATAATACTACAGACTTAATAATACTGAAAATTCTAAATATTCTTGTAGATGTGAAGCAGTGAGAATATTTTTTTTTTTGAGAGGTTTCTTATTTTTTTGCTGTAGAGCGTGTGTGCTCACCAGACAGAGAGACAGAAAATGAGAAATCACCCCCCAGGGGAGATGGCCACGCCGCAATCCCTTCTCCTCCATTCTCCTCTGTTCTCCTCTTGGGATCTTGGGCACACATGCACACGTGCCCGGCGTGAGTTTTTTTAAGCCACTGGGTCTGCGATGCGAACCATGGTCGACTACATGGGAGTCCAGCGACATAGCCATTATGCTAACTGCTGGTCCCAGCAGTGAGAATTTATACATCCTATGTAGTAGTATCAATTTGCACAACCATTTTGGAAAAGTACATGGTGTTCACTTCTAAAATTAAAGGTGCATGGGAGGGAAGAGTGCTTAAGATGATTCAGATGCTCACTAGAGGGGGAAATGGTTTATTTAAATATGAAAATAAATAAAATAAGTTGTATAAAATCAAAGGAAGCCAACCACAAATGAACAGATATCTACACAAGAGTCTTCATTTTTCCCTTTTTTAAAATGTCATGATTTCTTATTCTCATTTATTGTTGCCCGTCTCTATAGCACGCACTATAACTGTGTTTTCTAAGTGTGCATGCGGTACGTGACAGTCAAATCAAGGATATTACCACATACATCATTTCTAAGGGAGAACTTTACATTCTTATGTCTGTTGAGTTTTTATTCCCTGAAGCCCTCTGGCCCATGCCCTACCCTTCACCTCCTCCCACACAGTCTCTGATGTTGACACCTTTTCTTTTAAGTTTGTTTGATTTGACATGATCAAAGAAATGGGTCTGTGCCATTTGTCCCTCAGGTAAAAATATATAATTACTTATGGTTATTTGAACAATTGTGGCAAGGCTTTTTCATATAATGTAACTCCCTTCTATTGACATCCCCACCTGAGTTGAGACATTCCTACTAAGATCATTGCTGTTATTAGGATCCCCTAGGGAAAGCAGCAATCCAAACTGACGAATCTAATAGGAGCAGTAATGGTAATAGGCTATCTGTGTACCATAATAAATGAGACGCCGAAACATTTCACTATGTAGTACATTTGAAAATAATTAAATAAATTCTCTATTAAAAGCTAGAAAAATGGGGCCAGATGGTTAGCACAGTGTTAAAATGCAGTGCTTTGTGAATTTGATCCAAATAAGAAGGTTATGGGTTCTAGTCCAGAGATGCCTTCCCCTTGAGTACACCTGCATACCATAATTTGGGGCTGACTGAAATGGGGTTTCAATCTTGATGTCAATATTCTGTTGCACGTAGTCTCTATTTCTCTCATGCAGGGGAGAAATAAATAAATTTTTAAAACCTAGGAAACTTTGGGATTAGAGTTAGCATAATGGCTATGTCGCTGGACTCCCATGTAGTGCCGTGCCCAAGATCCCAAGAGGAGAATGGAAGAGAAGGGATTGTGGCGTAGTCATTCCCCCCAGGGGGGGAAGTGATTATCTCTGTGTCTTTCTGGTGAGTGCACACACCGTATACCAAAACCTGTCCAAAAAAAAGAAAAACCTAGCAAACCTAGAAGAAGCACTACTGAAAGCAATAAACTAGGAGATAAAGTAAAATGAGGTCAAATTAGCAGCAGAAAGCCTAAATGGACCATTGTTCATAGAAAAAAATATTTTTTGATTTGACATGATCAAAGAGTCAAAAGAGTACCAGGTACACAGAAACTCTACCAAATCTTTAAAGGCCAGATAATTCTAATGTAGAGTGTAGGGGGAAAAGGTATATTTAGAAATTATTGTTAAAAGTGAGAATAATATTAAAAATGTATGCATACATTACAAAATACTTCATAGTTGGAAAACCATAATTATTGGCATACTACTAAAAAGGTCTTATACATATTTCAGTACATATATTTTACTCAGGAAAAAATTAACAAAGTGAAAATTTGGATATATTTGCTTAACATGATAAATAAGACTTACTCTAATCCTCAACTTGCTGTCAGTCGGCTTTGGACAAGGCTGCCAAGACAATTTAATGAGGGAATGTAGAGTATTTTCAACAAATGGTGTTGGCAGAACTGTATATCCACTTGCAGAGGGATGAAGTTCCATTTCTACCTCATACAGTATACAAAAAGTAACTCAAAAATGGATCTAAGAACTAAATGTCAGAGCTAAAACTGCAATGCTTTTTGAAGTATGAGTCTTCATGACAATTGTAGTTTTTAGTGCACCAGAAGTATGAGCAACAAAAAGATAAGTAGATAAATCAAACATCATCATCAAAGTTGGGTTTCAAAAGACACTGTAAAAATTAACAAAAAAGACAATCCACGAGATGGAAGAAAATTCTTATAAAGATCTGATAAGAAATTTGCACCTAGAATATATAAAGAGCTATTACTACTCAATATTAAAAAGATAAGACCAATTAAAAAAATAGACAAGGGGGGGAGCAGGTGATGCAGTGGTCGAAGCTTCCATATGGCTGATCATGGTTCAAGTCCTGGACCCAGCAGCTTGATAATTATGCCAGGCATGTGTGTGTGCATGCCCAAAATCCTGAGGGGGAGACTGGGGGAGGACGGTAGTGTGGTCATCCCCCCTAAGGTGTGACTTCTCACTTTTCCTCTGACTTTCTGTTGTGAGTGCATGTGTCCTATAGTAAAAACCTTTAAAAATTTTGAAAAATAGACAAAAGACGTGAGTAGACATTTTTCCAAAGAAAATAGTCAGATGTCCAATAATCACACGAAAAAGATTCCCAATGTCACTAGCCATCAGAGAAATGTAGATCAAAACAGTAACGAGATGACTTCCCTATCTACTTGGATAAATAAATGAAACAGGCAACTGTTGGCAAGACTGCAGAGACTGCAGTACATTGCTGGCAGGAATATAAAATGCTGTTGCCACTTCGGAAAACCATCTGGCAGTTCCTCAGATGATCAAATATAGAATAACCTTATAACTCAGAAATTCCACTTCTTGGTACCCAGGTGTCTACACAAAAACTTCCACACAAATACTCATAGCAGTATTATGTATAATATCCAGAAAGTGGGACCAATCCAAATGTCTGTCAGCTGATGAGAGCATAAGTAAAATGTAATATCCACACAGTGGAAAGTTATTCAGTGACTTAAATGAGACAAGTATCTTTTCCAATCATAATGAAATAAAATCAGAAATCAATATAAAAAGAAATATGGAAAATAGGGAAAAAATGCAGTCTTCTCAAAGCCATTTTATGAGGCATTCAATATTACCTTGCTGCCAAAAGCAGACAAGGATATAACACTAAAGACCCAAATCCCTGATGAACACAGTTTTAAAATTCCTTCACAAAATACTAGCAAATAAATTCACTGGTACATCAAAAGAGTATACACCATGATACATCAGGGTTTATCCATGGCATGCAAGGACAGTTCGATATTTGTTAATCAGTAAATGTAATGTAATACATTGACAGAAGAAAATGTTAAAGCCACGTGATCGTATTGATCAATGCAGAAGAAACATTTGATAAAGTCCAACTCTTCTTTATAAGATTTTCTAAAAAACAAATATATAAGGCACATTTCTATACATAATAAAGTCTATAGAGGACAGACTCACAGTTCATGTCTTCCTAAATGAGGAAAGTTGAAAGCATTTTCTTAAAACTGAAACAAGACAAGGATGTCTACCTTCTCCACTTCTGTCAATATGCTATTGGAAGTCTTAGCTAAAGCAATTGGCATGATAAAAGTCATCCAAATTATAAAGGAGAAAATTAAATTGCCCCTATTTGCAAATGACATGATCATAGACAATCCTAAAGAAACGACCAAAAAACTCTTAGAATTTGTAAGTGAATTCAGTAAGGTTGCAGGATACAATAAATCAACATACAAAAATGAGTAGTGTTTGTAGTGTACAGTAATAGCAAACTAAGAAATCAGGAAACCATACCGTTTAAAATAGCCAATAAATGGACAAAATAAAAATAAAGTATACGTGAATAAATTTAGCCAAGGAGGTAAAAGATGTCCCCAACAAAAACTGTAAAACACTGATGAACGAAATTGAAGAAGACATTGAAAAAATAGATACCTCATATTTATGGATTGGAATAATCATTATTGTTAAAATGTCAACATTATCCAAAGTTACCTACAAATTCAGTGCAATCCTTATAAAAAATATAAATGATATTCACAGAAATAGGAAAAAGAATGATAAGGTTTAGAAGGACAAAAGACTTGAAATAAAGCAGTTCCATACAAAAAAGAGTAGAGTTGGATGCATCACATTACCTGACTTAAAAATACACTCAGAGACACAATAACTAAAACTGCATGATATTGGCACAAAGGCAGATATATTAACCAATTGAATGTAGTAGTGAGCCTAGAAATAAATTCACAAACATACAATTGATGTTTGACTAAGTTCCCAAGAATATTCAGTGGGGAAGAGATAATCACTTCAATAAACGGTGCTGAGAAAATTGGATATCCATAGGAAGAATAATGAAACTAGACTGTAGTCTCTCACTAGATACAAAAGCCAACTCAAAATGATCTAAAGACATAAATGTAAATCCTGGAAGCATGAAGTTAGTAGAAGAAAACAAAGGAAAAAGTACATGACAATGGATTTAGTTGCATTTGTAACAGAAATGTATGAGATTCAGTTTTTATAAAGAAATAAGTGTTGGGACCAGCAGTTAGCATAATGGTTATGTCACTGGACTCCCACGTAGTTGACCGTGGTTCGAGTCTCAGACCCGGTGGCTTAAACTCACACCAGGCGCGTGTGCGTGTGTGCGTGTGTGCCCAAGATCCCGAGAGGAGAAAGGAGGAGAAGGGATTGCGGCGTAGCCATCCCCCCAGGGGGGTGATTTCCTGCTTTCTGTCTCTCTCTGTCTCTCTCTGTCTGTCTGGCAAGCACACACGCCCTATAGCAAAAACTTCTCCAAAAAAAAAAAAAAAAAAGGAAAAAAAAAAGAAAGAAATGTTTATTTAACTCATGATTCTTATGGCCAGAATGTTGAAGGGCATAGGACTTTCATTAGCCCCTCTGCATATTTGATAGCATATCTGCTGGAAGTGGAGAGGATGGTGAATGTATGAAGAGACCAACATGAGGGCAGTCTTTTATTTATTTATTTATTTATTTATTTATTTATTTATTTAAATAACAGCCCACTCTCTAGCTCTGCTTTTCACAAGAGTCGAAGCTAAGTCCACAAGACAGCATTAATTCATTCATGAACCTGGTGCTTATGTAATCTAATCATAATGATCCAGTCATTGCAGACAAGGTGTCACCCCCTCCTAGCACCTTTACATAGGAGACCAAATTCCAGATTATGAAAATTTGAGAGCAATAAATCATTATCCAAATCATAACATTTGTCTAGGCAAAGATTTTTAAAGACCTCAAAAACATAGATAATAACACCGACAATGGACAGATGAGATTGCATCTAACTAAAAAGCTTCCACATAGCAAAGGAAATGATAGAGTACAAGGATAACCTATAGAAGGGCAGAAAATACTCACGGATTATGCATCCAACAAAAAGTTAGTAGCCAAACTATATTAAAAACTGAAGCAGTCCACTAGTAAAAACCCAAAATCATGCTTGTAAAAATGAGTAATCACTCTTAAAACAGACTGTTCTCAAAAAAGGACAAATAACCAATAAGCACATGATGAAATGCTCAGTATTGTCAGGCAAATGGCAATTAAAACCACAATGAGGTATCACCTCACCCAGATTAGAATGGCTATTATCTAAACAAACAAACAAAAAAAGCCAACATTCCAAACAAGAAAACCCCCAAAGAATGGAAAATACTAGTGAGGCTGTGGAAAAAGGGGGACTCTCACACACTGTTGGTGGAAACAAATTAGCACAGACATTATTGAAAACAGTATGCTGTTGGTTCCTCAAAAAACTAAAAATAGAACTACCTTGTAATCCAATAATTCCACCACTGGATATATACTCAAAGGGAAATCAGTGTAACTTTCCAAAACGCTTAGTCAGAAGCTGAGCAGCAGTGGCTGCCTGAGCTTTGCACAGCTCCCCCATGCAAGCCTCAGCCCACTCACTGGCTGTAGAAAATGGTGAAAAAAAAAAACCCCACTTACTATGATGTTTTGCTACTGAAGAAGAAATTAAGAAGGTTTACAGGAAACTGGCCTTCAAGTATCACCCTGATAATCCAAATGAAGGGAAGAAGTTTAAACAGATTGCTCAAGCTTATGAAGTTCTCTCTGATGCAGAGAAAAGGGAATTATGTGACAAAGCAGTAGAACAGGTAATTAAAGAGGGTGGAGGAGGTGGTGGTTTGGGCTCCCCAATGGAACTCTTTAATATGTTTTTTGGAGGAGGAGGAAGGATGCAGAGAGAAAGAAGAGATAAAAATGTTGTGCATTGGGGCCAGCAGGTGGTGTAATGATTGGATCACTGGATTCCCATGTAGTTGACCATGGTTCAAGTACCAAACTGGGTGGCTTAAAACTCACACCAGGTGTGAGTACATACATGCCCCAAACCCTGAGAGGTGACTGGAAAAGGGATTGTGGTATTGGCCATCTCTTGGTAGATGATTTCTAGCTTTCTGTTTTTCTCTCTCTCCCTGTCTTTCTGGTGAGCAGACACACCCTGTATCAAAAATCCTCAAAAAAAAAAAATTGTACATCAGCTATCAGTAACATTAGGAGTTGTATATAATAGTGCAACAAGAACATTTTCCCTGCAGAAGAATGTGATTTGTGACAAATGTGAAGGCTGAGGTGGGTAAAAAAAAAAAAAATAAAAAAAAAAAAAAAAAAAAAGGAGCAAAGGAGCAAGAGAGTGCTGTCTCAATTGCCGAGGTACTGGAATGCAAATAAAAATTCATCACGTAAGAATGGTTCAGCAAATTGGATCTATATGCATGGAGCCCCAGTGATAACTGATCACTCCTAAAGACAGACACAAAAGTTGTAATGGATGAAAGATAGTTTGAGAGAAGATTCTAGAAGTTCATATTGATAAAGCATGAAAGGTGGCCAGAAGATAACATTCCATGGTGAAGGAGACCAAACCAGAACTGGAGACGAGATATTATCATTGTATTAGATCAGAAAGATCTTGCGGTTTTTACCAAATGAGGAGAAGACCTTTTTGTGTGTATGGACATAGAGCTGGTTGAAGCATTGTGTGGCTTCCAAAAGCCAGTTTCCACTCTTGACAACTGAACCATAGTCATCAGCTCTCATCTAGGTCAGATTGTCAAGCACAGAGATATAAAGTATGCGTTAAATGAAGGCATGCCAATTTACCATAGACCATATGAAAAGGGCCACTTAACTATCAAATTTAAGATAAACTTCCCCAAGAATGGCTTTCTGTATCCTGATAAACTCTCTTTGCTGGAAAAACTTCTACCTGAGAAGAAGGAAGTAGAAGAGACTAATGAAATGACCAGGTAGAACTGGTAGACTTTGATCCAAATCAAGAAAGATGGCGCCATTACCACAGAGAATCTTATGAGAATGATAAACCTCATCCTCTAGGTGGTGTTCAGTGTCAGACCTCTTAATGGGGCCAGTAAATACTACTCACTGCTGGGATTTTATGTGCAGTAGTGACTGAGTGAAGGACTGTAATCATAATATGCTCACCAGTTCCTGCTGTTTTTGCTTTAGTATTCATCTATGTTTTAAGAGTTAAGCAAAGAATCAATACAAATTAAAAAAAAGAAAGGGAAATCAATTTATTAAAGAGATGAGTGCAGCCATATTTACTGCAGTGCTATTCACAATAGGTAAGGTAGGGATTCAATCGAAGTACCAACAATAGGTGAATGGATAAAAATGTGACATATATACAGAATGGAATACTATTTAGCCACCAAAAAGTTAAATTCCTGTTATTCGAGGCAATATGGATGAATGTGGAGTAAATAATGCTAAGTCATATAAGGCAGGTGCTCAAAGATAAATATCCTTACTCAATGGAAGCTAAAAATATTAAGTTACATAGAAATAGGGAATTTAATGGTGGATACCAGAAGCTAGAAAGGGGAGGGGAAATAGTGAGAACACGGTTAATAGATACAAATAATATCTAAACCAGTGGAATGGATTATAGAATATTATAGCATAATAGGGTAAAGATAGTTGGTAACAGTTCAATGTATATTTCAAAATAAACCATAATAATAGATTTTGAGTACATACAACAACACAAAGTAATGATAAATAGTTGGTGGCTACATTATTGCCTTAATTTGATCCTTACACATTATATACATGTTTTAAAGAGCCTCATTGTACCCCACAAGTATCTATGTACAACTATTATATGTAAGTTATAAATTACAATAAAATAGGTAAATAAACAAAATCATTAATATTTTTATATGCCAGTAGTTCAGTGTCTGAAAAGGAAGTCGATAAAGATATCCCATTTGCAATATGTGCAAAAGAATACATAAATGAAATATATAGGCTATATTTAACTGCAGAGATGAAAGACCCCCATGATAAAAACCTATAAAATATTATTGAGTGAAATTTAAGAGAACACTTATAACTGGAAAGATAGTCCATGTTCATAGATGGAAGGCATTAGTATGTTAAAATGTCCATACCACCCAAAGCAATCTACAAATTTAATTCTAAGAATTTCTGATATTATGAAATTATGGATATTTCCATCAGTTTTTGTTAAGCATTTTTTATGGCTCTGTGTGTGTGTGTGTTTGATGTATATTTATAATTGTTGTGTTCTTGGGTAAATTGGTTATTTTATCATTATGTAATGTTCATTTGGATGGAAGAGGAAATTAGAACATGTCTTACATTGTGTCATCAAAGTATGTATTTAAACATAGTATGAATATCCAGTATCACTTAATGGTAAGCTACTAATTGAGAATTTTTTCTTTTATATAGTTTTATACGTATGCAATATTATGTAAGTTTAGAAATAAGTATCCTTTAGAACACCACATGTCAGAATTAGGATTCAATTTTCATAAGCAATAAATGGTGCTGAAAACTGCATGCATTAAACATTGCTTAAAATCAAGTTATTAAATATTTTTATGAAATTATTATTTATATGTCACTATTTGTGGGATTCCATTGTGTTGTAGCCCTATGGCTATTTAATTGTATAGCACATTGTGCATGTATTGGGGGTGTGATATGTTATATAGCCACTAATTTTTAAAGTTATTTTTTTCTTTTCCAGTTTAATTACATGGGCTCTGATATAAAAGCTGTAACAGAGAAAGTAATTCACATCATTGGCCTTATGAACACTGTAAGTTTTGTATACACTTGTTTTAAATATATTTTGTCAAAATTCAATAATATGAATGGACACTGTACAGTATTTTGCTATGCTCTTAAAGATTTTTATAACCAAAATATATTAAATATATTAAATGTATTTTTATAAAAGACTAGTATAATTTTGAAATTTATTTTCCATTTTTTGTTTATCTCCTCCTTTTAGATGCTTACTCCATTAAAACTGACTGTTATAATATCTTCCATAGAAATATGGTCAAATAAAAACAAAATTTCTGCTAGTGAGAATCCAGATCTTTTACTGTTTAGGTTTTTAGAATGGAAAAGAAAACACCTTGACCATCGGCCACATCATGTTACATACTTATTTACGTAAGTGTAGTTTGCTGAATTTATCACATGAAAATAATAATTCAGAATATGTTAATGATAAGAAATAAGCACTTGCTTTATTTATACTGTGTTCTGCAAATTTGATAGCTACCCTGGGATGTGAAAAAATGCAAACTAGAGTCCCTGTTCCAAGGAGCTGATGTAAGACAGAACTCGAAAAGCTTTATTGAACAATATAAAATCATATTGAGAAGTATTAAAATAACTAAAACTGTTTAATTTTGAAGATTTTTTGGACATCCCTTGGATTATAAACTTGTACTATCCGTTACCCTTCTTTACACGCCTGTCTCTCATGTAATTAATTCCTATATATTTATTTTCTAATAAAGTGAGTATATCAACAATCATACCATCTAGATGTAATGTGCAGAAAAATTGATCTATCTTTAGTGAATAAATGAATAATGAGGCCACCAAAATTTTTAAGATTGAAAATGCAGAGGGAACCAAAGTGGAAACTGCAACCATTAGTGCAGTGGCCCTTTGCATGAATTATTAGATCTGGTCTTTATTATACTACTGAGTATTTATCCAAATTAAAAATTAACAAATGGGGACCAGCAGGTGGCATGGTGGTTAAGGCACTGGACACTCCCACAAGGCTGACCTCGGTTCGAGTCCTGGGTCTGGTGGCTTGCTTTCTTGCTTCCTCTCTCTCTCTCTCTCTGTCTCTGTCTGTGTCTCTCTCTGGTCAAATTTAAAAAAAAATGAATAAATAAAATAAAAAAATGAACAAATATACATTGAAATATTCTTAATACTAAAGCTTTAAGAAAAAAATATATAAATGATTTAACTCAGAATAGCTGGCTGGTGAGGAGATAGTGATTGTTCAGTGATGGTTGCTGCTATGAAAATGATCATGAATACTACTAATTTAAAATGCCCTTATGAGGAAAATTATTACATTTTTAGCTTCAGGAATCATTCAACCTTTATAGGAACTACAGTTCCTGAAAAAATATGTGAGAAGAATTATGCTGCAGGAGTTGCTTTGGTATGTAATAATTATCTTGTGTTCTCTTATTATTATCATCTTTAAAATTGCCTGAATATTTTAAAGCATGTACAAGATATTACTTAGTATAGCTTTTAGAAGACTAATTTGGACCATAAAGACTAAGTTCTGTATCGTTGACTTAAAAATGAGTAGAATGTTTGTTTATTTTGGCCATAGGGTTTCCATGTGGGACACTGGCTCTGTGTTCAAGATGGAGCAGGCCAGGCTTATCTATACCTGCGATCCAGGCCAGCTGAGACTGGATGGGGGTGGATCGTGGTACGATCACCCTATTGGAGGTGTTCGTGTCTCTGTCTCATTTATTTATTTCTATCTCACAGAGGAAATAAATAAACTTAAGAAAAAATTAATAGACCATTTAAGAGTTGAACTGATCATAATGTCAAATTGTTTTAAAAATGCATATGTAACCTTTGTAAGTAAAATTTTTAAATATTTATTTATTTATGTTTAGTTTTTGCTGTAGAGAGTGCACACTCAGCAGAGAGAGATAGAAACAGAGACAGAGGAGAAATAATAAATCCTCCCCTGGGAGATGGCCACACCATGATCAACCTCTTTTCTAGGCTTCTTGGGATTTTGAGCACGCATGCATACACACCCAGAGTGATTTTCAGGCTGCTGGGTCCTGCACTCAAACTGCTCAATTGGTCATGTGGAATCCAGTGCCTCAAACCTCCACACTCTGCTGACTTGCAAGTTAAATTTTAATTAATTTTATTTTTTTCTGTTTTTAAAAATTATTAATTTTACTTATTATGCTTCAATTTTATGAGACAGAGAGAGGGAGAGGGAGAGTGGGAAAGCAAGCCACCAGGTCCAGGACTCAAACCACAATCAGCCATGTGGGAGTCCAGCACCTTAACCACCATACCATCTGCTGGCCTCTATTTTTCTCTATTTAATCTATGTATATTTTTATTCATAATATAGTGCGTACACATGAGTGTGAGAGGCAAGAGAGATGAACACTCTCCATAGGGTCTGGTCATCCCACGATCCTGTTTGTCTACCCTTCTAAGTGGTGGGATCTTGGACACTATTTTAGGCTGACTGGACTTGGGATTAAAACATCTGTCGTCACCGCTTGAGTGGTGCAATTTTCTCTATACCATGAAACTGACTCTATTTTACATATTTTGGGCAGTGGTATGCTATGCATCAATATTTATCGAATATAGTCAAATTTTATGGTATGCAGTTTTTAATGCAATATCATTGTATAGTCAATTTTTATGTTAATTTTCCATTTTCTCGCTCATGCTTTGTATACAGAATGTGCTTTTTAATTCATTGTTAGTCACGTTTTTGTTAAAAGTAATTGTTATTGCATTAAAATCTTGAAAAAAATTTTTTTTAGATTATACTGTGACAAATTATAGTTGTGTATATTTATGGGGTGCTAAGTGATGTTAGAGTATTTAAATATGATGTGGAACAATGAAATAAAGCCAATTAGCATCTATATTACCTCAGATATGCTGCAGATGGTGCAGTGCTGGCAGAGACAATGGCGTGCGGGAAGAGGAAAGTCTCTTTTTCCTTCCCACTGCAGGTCTTCTGGTGACAGATAAAATGGCAACTGTTGTTTGCAGCGCGCCTACTCATAGGATCTTATAGCAGAGCCTGGAGGGAGTGGACTTGGAACTTTGCTGTCTTTTATAGTGTCTGTACTCATCTGATGTATCATTTTTCTCATGAGATTTCTTTGGGATATCAGTTAACTTGGCCGGTATTTTTGTTCCAGTAAGAAGAGGAATCTCTTTCTAGAGAGTAAAAGAAATGAGGGTCTACCAGAGCTTGGAAAAAATCTGGGCTTTTCTAAAATCTATTCACGACTTCCCTCCTCATTACTGCATTTTAGGTTCTTGTTTGTTTATTTATTTATTTATTTATTTATTTATTTATTTATTTATTTATTTATTTTTATTGTCAGAGGGAGTGTGTGCTTGCCAGAGTAAGAGACTAAGAGACAGGGAGGGGAAAAGCATGCCCAAGTGAGGCATGGTCACGGTCACATTGCAGCCCTTCTCCTCCATTACTCTTGTAATGACATTCTGAAATGTGATAAGTGAAATTTTGAAAATGCTTTGACTATTGTGTTGACATATTCAAGTTTAGCCAGTCTATCAAACAATTTCTTCTAAGCTTCAAAAAGTTTGTAGAAAAAAGGAGTTAAAGTACAAATTTATTTCAGTGGAAAAAAATGTTGAAATACACTTTTCCAATAAGATTTATTTTCCATAAACTTTTTGAAAAATCCTATATAATTCTATACTACAGTTGTATACGCTTAGGTATCTTGGATGTATTTATACGTTTTAAAAATGGGTTTTACATACCAATTTTATATTATGGTAAATACTGTTTTATAACTGATTATAACTTTTACTTAACTCTTTTCTTTTCCTTTTTTTTAAAAAAATAATATTTAGTATCTACGGGGTTTGTCCTTGGAGTCATATGCTGTTATCATAGTGCAGTTGCTTGGCTTAAATCTGGGGCTAAGCTACGACGATCCTGACAACTGCTATTGTTCCGGAGATGTTTGCACTATGACACCAAAAGCACTGTAAGACCATTTTCTTTATTAAAAAACACATATCCTTTCTTTCTTTTTTTATGTTTGGTTACGAATGTTGAGAATTTTATTAATCAAACAGAAGTAATTGGCAAATATAGAACCCTACATTCAACAACTGTAAAATGCACTTTCTAATCAAGTGCAATTGAAACCCCTACCAAAGTGGACACAGTGCTCCTGCGGGTTTCTCAGACCTGGAGAAATTCTCTTTCTCTTTTCTAGAACCTTGATAGATCCACTCCTTTTGGCTAGCTCAAGGGCACCCTCTAGGGTCAAACATTATGAATTGTGCAATTTTAGTTATTCAGGAAGGTCTGAATACCGAAAACTATAGAACACTGATGAAACACGTTGAAGAAGACATAAATAGACAGAGTTATATCTCGTATTCATGGATTGGAAGAATAAATCTTATTGAAATATTCTTTGGGCTGCCAGGTGGCATAGTGGTTAAGGTGCTGGAGTCCCACATGGCTGATCACGGTTTGAGTAACCAACCTGCAGGCGTGCTTTTTCACGTTCCCTCTCCCTCTCTCTGCCCTCTGGTAAATTAAATAAGTAAATTAATGAAATGAAATGAAATGAAATAATTCTTTAAAAACTATATCCATAATACCCAAAGCAATCTGTAGATTCAATGACATTCCCATGGAAATATCAAAATCATTTTTTTTTGTAGAATTAGGAAAAAATTCTTAAAATTCATGTGAAATGACAAAAGACTCCAAATAGACAAGAAGTCCTAAGCTCAAAGAACAAAATTAGAGGCCTTATTCTGTACATTTTCATATACATTTTTTAATCAATTACCAAGTTTCTATAAGAAAGTCCCACTGGGATTTTGATAATACTGCATTTTTCAATAGCATAATTCAATTTCAGGAGAATTACCTTAACAATATTGAACAATAATGAATTTGTTGATCCTTTGATAAGGTACATGTCCTCACGTCTTTAAGTCCCTTTTAGTGTCGTTCCGAAACGTGTTGTATTTTACCATTTATAGGTCCAGGACTCAAACCACAATCAGCCATGTGGGAGTCCAGCACCTTAACCACCATACCATCTGCTGGCCTCTATTTTTCTCTATTTAATCTATGTATATTTTTATTCATAATATAGTGCGTACACATGAGTGTGAGAGGCAAGAGAGATGAACACTCTCCATAGGGTCTGGTCATCCCACGATCCTGTTTGTCTACCCTTCTAAGTGGTGGGATCTTGGACACTATTTTAGGCTGACTGGACTTGGGATTAAAACATCTGTCGTCACCGCTTGAGTGGTGCAATTTTCTCTATACCATGAAACTGACTCTATTTTACATATTTTGGGCAGTGGTATGCTATGCATCAATATTTATCGAATATAGTCAAATTTTATGGTATGCAGTTTTTAATGCAATATCATTGTATAGTCAATTTTTATGTTAATTTTCCATTTTCTCGCTCATGCTTTGTATACAGAATGTGCTTTTTAATTCATTGTTAGTCACGTTTTTGTTAAAAGTAATTGTTATTGCATTAAAATCTTGAAAAAAATTTTTTTTAGATTATACTGTGACAAATTATAGTTGTGTATATTTATGGGGTGCTAAGTGATGTTAGAGTATTTAAATATGATGTGGAACAATGAAATAAAGCCAATTAGCATCTATATTACCTCAGATATGCTGCAGATGGTGCAGTGCTGGCAGAGACAATGGCGTGCGGGAAGAGGAAAGTCTCTTTTTCCTTCCCACTGCAGGTCTTCTGGTGACAGATAAAATGGCAACTGTTGTTTGCAGCGCGCCTACTCATAGGATCTTATAGCAGAGCCTGGAGGGAGTGGACTTGGAACTTTGCTGTCTTTTATAGTGTCTGTACTCATCTGATGTATCATTTTTCTCATGAGATTTCTTTGGGATATCAGTTAACTTGGCCGGTATTTTTGTTCCAGTAAGAAGAGGAATCTCTTTCTAGAGAGTAAAGGAAATGAGGGTCTACCAGAGCTTGGAAAAAATCTGGGCTTTTCTAAAATCTATTCACGACTTCCCTCCTCATTACTGCATTTTAGGTTCTTGTTTGTTTATTTATTTATTTATTTATTTATTTATTTATTTATTTATTTATTTATTTATTTATTTATTTATTTATTTATTTATTTATTTATTTATTTATTTATTTATTTATTTATTTATTTATTTATTTATTTATTTATTTATTTATTTATTTATTTATTTATTTATTTATTTATTTATTTATTTATTTATTTATTTATTTTTATTGTCAGAGGGAGTGTGTGCTTGCCAGAGTAAGAGACTAAGAGACAGGGAGGGGAAAAGCATGCCCAAGTGAGGCATGGTCACGGTCACATTGCAGCCCTTCTCCTCCATTACTCTTGTAATGACATTCTGAAATGTGATAAGTGAAATTTTGAAAATGCTTTGACTATTGTGTTGACATATTCAAGTTTAGCCAGTCTATCAAACAATTTCTTCTAAGCTTCAAAAAGTTTGTAGAAAAAAGGAGTTAAAGTACAAATTTATTTCAGTGGAAAAAAATGTTGAAATACACTTTTCCAATAAGATTTATTTTCCATAAACTTTTTGAAAAATCCTATATAATTCTATACTACAGTTGTATACTCTTAGGTATCTTGGATGTATTTATACGTTTTAAAAATGGGTTTTACATACCAATTTTATATTATGGTAAATACTGTTTTATAACTGATTATAACTTTTACTTAACTCTTTTCTTTTCCTTTTTTTTAAAAAAATAATATTTAGTATCTACGGGGTTTGTCCTTGGAGTCATATGCTGTTATCATAGTGCAGTTGCTTGGCTTAAATCTGGGGCTAAGCTACGACGATCCTGACAACTGCTATTGTTCCGGAGATGTTTGCACTATGACACCAAAAGCACTGTAAGACCATTTTCTTTATTAAAAAACACATATCCTTTCTTTCTTTTTTTATGTTTGGTTACGAATGTTGAGAATTTTATTAATCAAACAGAAGTAATTGGCAAATATAGAACCCTACATTCAACAACTGTAAAATGCACTTTCTAATCAAGTGCAATTGAAACCCCTACCAAAGTGGACACAGTGCTCCTGCGGGTTTCTCAGACCTGGAGAAATTCTCTTTCTCTTTTCTAGAACCTTGATAGATCCACTCCTTTTGGCTAGCTCAAGGGCACCCTCTAGGGTCAAACATTATGAATTGTGCAATTTTAGTTATTCAGGAAGGTCTGAATACCGAAAACTATAGAACACTGATGAAACACGTTGAAGAAGACATAAATAGACAGAGTTATATCTCGTATTCATGGATTGGAAGAATAAATCTTATTGAAATATTCTTTGGGCTGCCAGGTGGCATAGTGGTTAAGGTGCTGGAGTCCCACATGGCTGATCACGGTTTGAGTAACCAACCTGCAGGCGTGCTTTTTCACGTTCCCTCTCCCTCTCTCTGCCCTCTGGTAAATTAAATAAGTAAATTAATGAAATGAAATGAAATGAAATAATTCTTTAAAAACTATATCCATAATACCCAAAGCAATCTGTAGATTCAATGACATTCCCATGGAAATATCAAAATCATTTTTTTTTGTAGAATTAGGAAAAAATTCTTAAAATTCATGTGAAATGACAAAAGACTCCAAATAGACAAGAAGTCCTAAGCTCAAAGAACAAAATTAGAGGCCTTATTCTGTACATTTTCATATACATTTTTTAATCAATTACCAAGTTTCTATAAGAAAGTCCCACTGGGATTTTGATAATACTGCATTTTTCAATAGCATAATTCAATTTCAGGAGAATTACCTTAACAATATTGAACAATAATGAATTTGTTGATCCTTTGATAAGGTACATGTCCTCACGTCTTTAAGTCCCTTTTAGTGTCGTTCCGAAACGTGTTGTATTTTACCATTTATAGCTCTTGCACCTTTTTTTGGTTACATTTGTTAAGCATTTTATCCTGTTTTATGCTATATTGACTGAATTGTCTTTTAAATTTCACTTTTGGCTGCTCTTTGCTAGTGCATTGAAATAAAATAGATTTTTATCTATTGACCTTGTGTGCTGAAAACTTGTGAAGTTTGTGTAGATATTCTGGGAGATTCTATTTATGGATTTCTCAAGAGTTTCTGTGAACAGAATTTTGTCATCTGTGAGTCAGAGTAGTATTTTATTTCTTTGTTTGTTTTTTCCTTTTTAGCTTTTTTTGCATGTCTTTTTATTTATAGCTTGGTTATACTTGAAATAACCAGTCCAGTGTGGATGGAAGTGGTGAGAGCATATTTTTGTCTTCTTTCCAATATTAGGAGAAAAGCATTCAGTTTTTCAAGATGCTATTGTTTATGAAACTGTAGCACGATGTTAGCAATAGTTTCTTTTCTGAGATAAAGATATTATCTAAACTAGCATCCTTATTCCCATGTTTCTTTTGTTTTATTTTTCCTCATTCTGCCATCATCACACGGTGTCATGTGTCACTCGTGTGCTCTCTGGGTGGCAGAAATGTCCCCCCTCCTGCTGCCTCATTTCCTTAAGTAGAAGAGGGATGTCGTAGGCTGACAGTGATGAAGAGGCCTGCTTGCCTGGGCATTTGTGATCATAGGAATTTTCCTACTTGTGGGAGCCAAAGAATGATTTCCTGGCTATATCGTGGATCCTTTTTGCCAGTGTGGCCTCCTTACCTGGTGACTCTGGGAATTTGAGACCCAGCAAACCAGGTCACTTCCCTTTGACAAATTACTGTTAGCAGGGATTCTGATTACTCTCTCTTGTTGGTTGTGGCCAGTTCCCCCGATGTTTTTAGTAGGGTTCCCATTCGATCTTAAAGAGTGAGCCTACCCTGGGTTGTTGCCGGGTAGTGGTTCTGAACATATTGGGCCTATATCATTGTCTTCTGTTGGAAGGAGAGATGGAAGGTGTACAACTGCTGTGTGGTTCCTTCAGTCTGAGAACCCAAACCTGCTTCCCTCCCTCCCTCTCTTTTCTTTCTTTCTTTCAATTTTGCCAGAGGGCATGTGTACTCACCAGAGAGAGACCAAAAGACAGAGAGGGAGGAGAGAGAGAAAACACCTCCCAATGGAGTGTGGTCATGCGTCAGTCCCTTCCACTCCGTTTCTCCATCATGCTGGACTTTTGTGCACACAAACACATTCCTAGCATCTTCTTCAAATTGCCAGGGCTGGGATTTGGCTGTGGTTGTCCACGTGGAATCTGGGTCCCTTGACCATTTGACCACAAGGCCAGGCCATACTTCCCACTTTCGACCTTTCAGAATTCTCCTCAAGTAGCTTCTTACGTTATTCTCAGATTTTTGACTTGTCCTTAATGAAATGAAGCAGGAAGAACAAATCTTTGTCCTTTTATCTAGATTGAATATACGTAATTTATTTTTATTTGAAAAATAATTAATGATAGAGAGCAGAAACTCTAAAATACGTTATTAAAGTCAATATTAATAAATTTACCATGGCATTCATAGACACAGTTCAAAATAAATAAATCTATGTGAAATACTGAGCCCCAAATTTAAATTTCAGTTGTTTGAGCCTAGGAAGATAAATAAGAATGAAACAGCTAGTATGTGTAAAGACTTAACAAAGGTCATAGGATACATACCAAGCATTGTGTCAAACAGGATGGAAAATAAAAAAATAATTTTTGAATAATTTTTTTTCATTTTTTTGGTAGAATTAGAGAAGTATATTAAAAACATGTTAGCAATACAATAAATATTTTTGAAGTGTGCTTATTGTTTTCCACTAACTATAATGAAGTTTATATCTCTTTTTAAAAATGGGAAGTAGAGAGATCTATACCTGTACTGTTTTTTGTCATGCTTATTTTTTTAATATATTTTAGGTACTCTAGCGGTGTAAAGGATTTTAGCACCTGTAGCTTGGAAGACTTTAAATATTTTGCTTCTAATGGTGACTTTGGATGTCTTCAGAATACACCTATCGATGTGCCAGCTTATAGACAAGCCCCAAAGAAAATATGTGGCAATGGACAATTGGAAGCTGGTGAACAGTGTGATTGTGGCACTTTAGAGGTTAGTGGAATTAAAAAAATGATTAATTTCATACAAATGTATATAATAGGTACAAAGAGGATGAATACGTTATCTTTTAGTAAAATAAATTTGTAAAAGCTACTCTTCTGGGACCAGCAGATGGTATAATGATTACGTTGCTGGACTCCCATGTAGTTGACCACTGTTTGAGTCTCATACCTGGTGGCTTAAAACTCGTGATGGCTGTGTGTGTGTGTGTGTGTGTGTGTGTGTGTGTGTGTGTGTCCAAGACCTTGAGAGGAAAATGGAGGAGAAGGGATTGTGGCATGGCCATCCCTCCAGGGGGTGATTTATCGCTTTCTGTGTCTCTGTCTCGCTCTGTCTCACCAGTGAGTACACATGCCCTATAGCAAAAATATCTCTCTCTCTAAAAAAAGGGTACTCTTCTTTTAGAAAACATTCTAAGTGTAATGAAGATCATTCATGAAAAACCATAGTTGTCATCATAATCAATGAGAAACAACTGAACTATTTTCTAGTACAATCTGATACTGGGTAGGTATACCCATTCTCACCACTTTAGTGAACACAGTGCTGGAAAAGAAAAGAAAAACAATCAGACAATGGGAAGAAAAGGCATCCAAAATGGAAAAGAATAAGTAAAACTATCTTTGATTGTAGAGAACATGATTCTGTATGTCAAAAAACACCAGATATTCCAGAAAAAAACTTTTACAACTAAAAAATAAATTCATTATGGTTGCAAGATACCAATTAAAGCTACAAAAATCTATATATACAGTTAATGTCCTAGGAGAAAAGAAATCAAGAAAAAAATCCCATTATACTAACATCCAAAAAAAAAAAAGAAAGAAAGAAAACAAACAAACAAACAAACAAACCCTTTAGGAATAAATTTAACCATGGAGGTGAAAGATTTCAAACATTATAAGACATTAATGAAATAAACTGAAGAAGACTCAAATAAATAAAAAGATATTCCATGTTCATGAATGGGATGAATAAGTATTGTTAAAATATCCCTACTACTAGGGCCAGTAGGTGGCATAGTGGTTAAGGTGCTAGACTCCCACATGGTCAACTGCGTTTTGAGTCCTGGACCTAGTGGCTCGAAACTCAGGCCAGGTGCCAGTTCGTGTGTGCCCAAAATCCTGAGGACAGAGGAGAAGGGATTGTGGCGTGGCTGAGGGATGTCACCACGCTGGGCCTACTATTGAATTCTTTTTCATGCTTGTACAAGCTATATTCATTAAGCTGAAACTGTTTCAGTATCAGCACTAACACAATCAACAAAACCATAAATTGGATCCTCACTGTATTTGCCAAATTTCTTACTGTGAATATTCTCACTAAGGTTGATTTCAAGTGACAAATACAACATTACTGAATGCTGAGCTGGACATCCGCGAGCCATAGCAGACTGTTACATAGATGTGAGCTGGTCCTGAGTCCTTGGCCAAGTCAGATCTGGTCCTAGGTCTTGTAGGAGGTTATTATAGTTTATTATATAGTTATTATAGTTTATAATATAGTTTATTATATTTTCAAGTAATTATGTATATATTTTTTCTTTTTAAAACAGTTTATCTGTTTCTTTTATGAGCAAGAGTGATGAGAGACCTATGGATAAATAAGTCACAATAGAAGCTAGACATATCTCTATCCAACAGAATATAGCCATACTTCAGTGGCAATTTATAGATTTAAATGGAAGTATTAGAAAAGGAAAAAGAAAAAAAAAAAACAATGAGCTAAGTGTTTCATTTCTCCTTTCTTTTTTCTTTTTTTTTTTTAACTTACTTTATTTTAATTTGACAAGATAGGGACAGAGAGAGAGAGAGAGAGAGAGCGAGAGAGCGAGCAAGAGAGAGAGTGAGTGTGAGAGAGATGGGAAGTGAGAAAGCAAGCTGCCAGGTCCCGGACTTGAACCATAGTCAGCCTTGTGGCAGTCCAGTGCCCTTAACTACCACACCACCTGCCTGGCCCTCTTCTTTCTTTTTTTTAAAGAGAGATATTTTGCTACAGGGTGCATGCACTCACCAGAGAGACAGAGACAGAAAGTGAGAGATCACCCCACACCTCACACCACACCCCCCCCCCGGGGGGGATGGCCACACTACAATCCCTTCTCCACCATTTTCCTCTTGAGATTTTGGGCACACACTCCTAGCATGAGTTTTAAGCTCCCAGGTCTGGTACTTGAACTGTGGTTGACTATGTGGAAGTCCAGTGACATAACCATATTGCCATGTACTGGTCCCATTAAGTGTTTTTTCCAAGATGTTAGGAAAGAACAAATTAAATTAAATGAAAATCAGAGAACAGAAATAATGATGGTTTGAGCAAAAATTAATGAAACGAGCAGTAATCATGCAATAGATAGTGTGAAGAAAAAATGTGGTTCCTTGGAAGAACTGAAAAGAGAAAAAAATTAAGAGAATACTGATGATACTAAAGAAGGAAAGGCCTAAACAACTAAGGTTAGTACTCTGAAACAGAAAATTTCAGAACTGCAGCTAGAAAGAGAGGATGGTATGAGGAAAAAAATTAAATGTGATTATTTAATGAAATCGATACATTATAGGGATGGCAAAATTTACAAATATCCAATGAGAAACAGAAAATCTGAATGGCCTCACGACTAGTAAATAGTCATACCTGTATTTTAAAACCTTTCACAGAAAATACAGCCCAGATGGTTTCTCTGATCAATACTAATTAGTTTTTTTTTTTTTTTTGAGGTTTTCGCTATAGGGTGCGTGCGCTCGCCAGACAGACAGAGAGAGACATAGAGACAGAAAGCGAGAAATCACCCCCCAGAGGGGATGGGCACGCCGCAATCCCTTCTCCTCCATTTTCCTCTCGGGATCTTGGGCACGCACGCACACGCGCCCGGCGTGAGTTTTAAGCCACCGGGTCCAGGACACGAACCGCGGTCGACTACGTGGGAGTCCAGCGACAGCCATTACGCTAACTGCTGGTTCCCAATACTAATTAGTTTTTAAAGAAGTAATAATCCCAATCTTTCTACGAGCAGGTCTTCATTTATTTTATGAAGCCAATGTAAACTTGGTACAAGAAAACTTTGGGAAGCTAAGGATAAGAAAAAATACATTAGAGGCAGATTTATTCACTAACCCAGAACAGAGATCCTGAATAGATACTAATAAAAGCTGAGCTTATTTCAGTAAGTTTGACTTAATACTTGATAATAAAGGAAGATTATCCACTGAGTAAAATTAAGAAAAAAGCCATATGATTGGTCCCATGTATAAGAAAATGACCTCTGCTAAGATCGAGCATCCGTTCATAAACGGTGCCGTGCAGTGCTCTTCAATAGGGCTTTGTGTGGTGAGGAATGTCCCGTGCTGCTCAGTGCATTGCTCTCCTCATGTGGCTGACGAACACCTGGAATGCGGCCTGTGTGACTGAGGAGTTACTGACTTCAGTTTATTTGAATAAATATTTAAAAATATAATGATTATTATTTTATTACAGAGTCTTGCTATGTGGCGGTCCTCCTGCCTCAGCACCCCCAGTAGCTGGGACTGCTGACACGGGCGCTCACATGTAGTTCTTCAGAACAGACCGGGAGCTAGACCAGACCTCCCTTATGGTCTCATGGCTGAGTAGAGTAGCAGGATCAGCCAGCATGTGCTTTGGTGGCTGGGCCTTAATGAATTTAGTTCATTTACATTTAAATTGCTCCATGTGGTTACTGGTTACTACGTTGGGCAGTGCAGTTTTAACATCCATAGTTTTCAAACTTCCTTCAGGGAATTGGAATGGATATATTGAGAAAAGGAGTAAGAACAGTAAATACTTATGGTTTTTATAAACATTATAAACAAGGTTATTTAACTTTGGGCCGTATATATGAATAGTTCTGCTGATATGTTTTATTATAGATCTATAGATGTAAAAATATAAGAAAATGTTTAAAGAAAATGTTAGTTAATAAGGTATCTAATAAATATTTCCTCTAGGCTTTGGGTACATGTAATATTGTTCAAATTATATGGTATATAGCCAAACAATTTATTTCTTCTATAAAATACTGAATGAGATGTTGATTTCTATGAATCTTGTACAAAGAATGGGTTTCCCTGGGGTCAGCCAGTGTCATGGTGGTTAAGGCTGCTGGATCACACATGGTCAACTGTGTGGTTAGAGTCCTGGACCCAGTGACTTGAAAAACACACTGGGTGCATGTGCATATGTGCCCAAGATCCTTAGAACAGAGGAGCTTGTGGCGTGGACCTATTCTGAGGGCTGTTTTCTTACTACAACCTTCCCACCCCTCCACCCTCCATCTCTGCCTCTTTGGTGAGGACATGTGCTCTCTTACAGAATTAAAAAAAAAAAAAAACAGAAAAGAAAGAAAAGGAATGGGTTTACTGAAACTATTCATTTAAAATTGGTGCATACTTGCATCTCATTTAGTTTTGTCACTATGAATATTCTGAATTGTTTATCTGACATTTCCTTGAGTTCCATCATACTGTCTGTGGATGATGAGGAATTTTTTTTTTCCCTTGGGGGAGAAATATTTTCCTGGTTTCTCATATTTCTTGTTTCTCTGTGCTGGTTTCTGGAGGTAATTTCTTGGAGGTAATTCTGAGCATTCAGAGGCATGTGGGAGGAGGTGAGCCATGACCTCTCTGTAGCTCTGTCTCCCTGATGCTCATCCTGAAACCTGCACTGTTGTTGCTGAACTGGAAATTCCAAAGGCCTCCCAATTTCTTGAGAATAATTGCACCTGAGGGTGAGTTGCAGGGTTTCAACTGAGGAAGAAAGTAGGGGGTCACACAACTGTGCAATTGGGAGGCAGCGGAGGTCCCAAGATGATCTCAGGCCTCAGTCTTCTCAAATTAGTCCAGCCACTGTGGAGAACAATATGGAGGTTCCTCAAAGATCTACAGATCGAGCTACCATCTGATCCAGCTCCTGATTATCTACCCAAAGGATAGGAGAACACTTAGTTAGAAAAGTGCTTGTACATCTGTGTTTATTGTGGCTTTATTCACAATTGCTAAGACTTGGAGACAACCCAAATGGTCTTGAACAGATGAATGGATTGAAAAAGTGTGGCACATATACTCTATGGAATACTACTCATCCATGAAAACAAACAAAAACACACAAGACCCTGGCATTTGATAGAAAGTGGTTGAATATGAAAGATTTATTGCTGAGTAAAGCAAGTCAGACTGTGAAAGAGAGACATTGTGTCTTCACTTAATATAGACTGACTGTCCACACTATGCCAGAGACTGAAAGATTAGAGGATATAGAAGCTTAGAAAATGGTTACAGATTCTGGAGACTACGGGAAGAGGTTGGGAAAAGGCTGAGAGTGAGAGGAAGGGAATCAAGGAGAAAAATAGAGAGAGGCATGACATTTATGGGACATGGAAGTGGATGATTATCTGTTGATGATAACATATATAGTGTCTTCAACTGGACTGGTATGAAGTGTGTTCATGTTGGGTTAAATTCATTTGACAATCTGTAGTGATATATAGTGATTGAATGTATGAAAGAAATTAAAATAATAATAAAACTGCATACTTTGTAAAGCTGTCCATTATAGTTTAATTTGATAGTATCTAATCGTATATGATTAACACTGAGTGTTTGCTTACAGAACTGTACTCACAAAGCATGCTGTGATCCTACATCATGTTTATTTAAAGGTGATGTACAATGTGGCTCAGGAGAATGCTGTGAACAAAATTGCAAGGTAAAAAGTGATGTGTATTTAATAACAGCTCAGCAGTACATTTTCTGAAATACTTGCTTCAAGGAGATAGAGTATCTGTCAGTACCATATTTGGCACTTGACACTATATTCTACCCAAGCACCATCGAACTCACTCTCATGAGTAAGTCCATTCAGTCATCTATTATTTCCTGTACTATACTCTCATGGACACAATGCCTGAACTGTCCTCCTTCCCAGCTTGACTTCTCATTTCCACATGCCGTTACCAGTCTTCATGTGCTCCTTCCACGGTTTCTCTGTGGTAAACATCTGCCTGTCTGTGGATGATGAGGAATTTTTTTTTTCCCTTGGGGGAGAAATATTTTCCTGGTTTCTCATATTTCTTGTTTCTCTGTGCTGGTTTCTGGAGGTAATTTCTTGGAGGTAATTCTGAGCATTCAGAGGCATGTGGGAGGAGGTGAGCCATGACCTCTCTGTAGCTCTGTCTCCCTGATGCTCATCCTGAAACCTGCACTGTTGTTGCTGAACTGGAAATTCCAAAGGCCTCCCAATTTCTTGAGAATAATTGCACCTGAGGGTGAGTTGCAGGGTTTCAACTGAGGAAGAAAGTAGGGGGTCACACAACTGTGCAATTGGGAGGCAGCGGAGGTCCCAAGATGATCTCAGGCCTCAGTCTTCTCAAATTAGTCCAGCCACTGTGGAGAACAATATGGAGGTTCCTCAAAGATCTACAGATCGAGCTACCATCTGATCCAGCTCCTGATTATCTACCCAAAGGATAGGAGAACACTTAGTTAGAAAAGTGCTTGTACATCTGTGTTTATTGTGGCTTTATTCACAATTGCTAAGACTTGGAGACAACCCAAATGGTCTTGAACAGATGAATGGATTGAAAAAGTGTGGCACATATACTCTATGGAATACTACTCATCCATGAAAACAAACAAAAACACACAAGACCCTGGCATTTGATAGAAAGTGGTTGAATATGAAAGATTTATTGCTGAGTAAAGCAAGTCAGACTGTGAAAGAGAGACATTGTGTCTTCACTTAATATAGACTGACTGTCCACACTATGCCAGAGACTGAAAGATTAGAGGATATAGAAGCTTAGAAAATGGTTACAGATTCTGGAGACTACGGGAAGAGGTTGGGAAAAGGCTGAGAGTGAGAGGAAGGGAATCAAGGAGAAAAATAGAGAGAGGCATGACATTTATGGGACATGGAAGTGGATGATTATCTGTTGATGATAACATATATAGTGTCTTCAACTGGACTGGTATGAAGTGTGTTCATGTTGGGTTAAATTCATTTGACAATCTGTAGTGATATATAGTGATTGAATGTATGAAAGAAATTAAAATAATAATAAAACTGCATACTTTGTAAAGCTGTGCATTATAGTTTAATTTGATAGTATCTAATCGTATATGATTAACACTGAGTGTTTGCTTACAGAACTGTACTCACAAAGCATGCTGTGATCCTACATCATGTTTATTTAAAGGTGATGTACAATGTGGCTCAGGAGAATGCTGTGAACAAAATTGCAAGGTAAAAAGTGATGTGTATTTAATAACAGCTCAGCAGTACATTTTCTGAAATACTTGCTTCAAGGAGATAGAGTATCTGTCAGTACCATATTTGGCACTTGACACTATATTCTACCCAAGCACCATCGAACTCACTCTCATACGTAAGTCCATTCAGTCATCTATTATTTCCTGTACTATACTCTCATGGACACAATGCCTGAACTGTCCTCCTTCCCAGCTTGACTTCTCATTTCCACATGCCGTTACCAGTCTTCATGTGCTCCTTCCACGGTTTCTCTGTGGTAAACATCTGCCTGCAGCCCTTTCTTTCTGTCTTTTCTTCTGAACAGTCTACCTCACACAGGGTCAGGAAGTTAGATCATTTCATTTTATTGGCTAAATTCGCTTCACTGTCTCATTGCTACATTCATTTAGTCTCTTTTTATTGGCACCATTTAAAGATTTCCCCAGTAATTTTCTGAAATCTCAAGAAGAAATAAACAAATGCTTGAACAAGATAAATGGTAAATATTCTTAAGAATGGAGAATGAATATATTTTAACAATTAAGTTATTCTGGGATTTAGAAGGGAATGAAACAAAATAACATTGAAGGTGAATGAAATAAAGAATGATTATGGTTAAGCTACATTTGCAATGTAAACATGAGATTAACAATAAACTTAGCAGATATTGGAATTTCTGTGGCTCAAACTAGTCATTGACATGGAAGATAAAATAAAAAAAGATAAAGTCAATGCAAGGATTAGAACATAGTGAGGAAAATGGACCATGTCAAAAACATAGTAAATTTAAAAAATCAATATCAAAAGATAAAGCAGTGTCTTCTGGTTAAATGTGATAGCAAACCATAATTCTATTTTACCCATCCCTATAACTAATGTGGAGCAACAACATACAGATAAAGCAGAAGGAAAATATCCAGATCAAAATGCAGTGAAATTTGGATGAAGTATGAGGTTGATGCACATTTATAATTTGTTTACAGCTTAAACTTGTTAATTTATTCACTCATTCAGGAAATAGTCTACTCCACACCGTGTTGTGGGCAGTATTAAAATAGGATGAACACAGAAAAAATATCAAACAAGATAATTTCAGATAGTGACAAGTGATCTAAGAATAGAATAGAATATTAATAGTATAAGGAACTAGCAAGAGGTTATTTTAGCCAGGGTAAATAGAGGAATGTCTCAGTAGAGTAGATCTGAGCTAAAACTTTAATGACAGGGGAAGAATTGGTACAGAAACTTCAGGCAATTAATGAAGCAATAGAATGACCTTGAGAATGGGATATGCATAGGGGAAGGAGAGTGTTTTCCAGTACCCAATCACATTGTGGTTTGTCTTCTCACTCACCACTTGAATTTGTATGAGATTTGCTACAGTAGCAAATACTTGTTGACAGCTTGAGAAAAATGTATGGATAAAACCTATTTAGGGGAGATAAATGTTATATAAGCTGTACCTTCCACTCCTTTCAAAGCTAGAAAAAAAAAAAAAGAATATTCTTTGCATAGGCCATGACAAGTTGGGGCTTGAGTTGAAGAAAGGAGTTTGAAAAGATTATGCTCAGGAGTTTCCTGGAAAATGTAGCTATGCACAAAGGGAATTCCAGGAACTATCAATTAAAGAGTATGCGTAAAGACAGCCGAGATACCTAATTAGGGAAGTTATTTTTATGTTGTTACCAATGTACTTTGTGAAATAAACTTTCTCCTATGTGTCCTTAAAGTATCTTAAAACCATAATTTTTTCTAAATATTTCTGATTTGAATTTGTTTTGTAAAAGATTTCTGACTTCTGCTTTAAGGTTGACGTATAGAGAAACCAGAAGTTGTTCGTATGAGCACAGCCATCGTAGGTTATAAGTAATTTTTATATTAATTCCTTAGCTCTACTTTCTTTCTTTTATGGTAGTCTGCTTATCTTTGTGTTTTTATCTTCTCTTATGAGCATTGCTTATTTTTCTTAATGAACAAAAAAATTCAACCCTTAATCTCTATGTGATGCATAAGTAATTAATAAGACTTAATTTTTAAAATTGTTCTTAGCAGTTCAGGAAACAAATAGATGGAAATTAGAGCCTAAAGAGAAAGGAAACTTAGGTATCATTGATATGTAATATTTTCTTATGTTCCTTCTCCTTCCTAGTTCAAACCAATTAATACACTTTGTAGAAAATCAATGGATGAAGATTGTGACTTCCCTGAATATTGTAATGCGACTCTCCCACACTGTGGACCTAACACTTTTGCACGCAATGGGCAATCTTGTATGTCAGGCGAAGCCTTCTGTTATGATGGAACTTGTCGAACTTTTGACAAACAGTGTAAGGCATTAGTTGGAGGAGGTAATGACCATAATTTTTTTCTTAATTCTAAATTTTGTTTATTCTAAAGTCTGATATTCAGTTCTCTAGAAAAATAATGTAAACATAATTTGTTGACTAAAATCTTGCCTAGTGTACATTAGTATGAATGGAATTCACAGTTTTCATAATTATGAAAAACAAAATAGAATCTCTGAACTTATATGACATTCTTGTTCACGCAAGGAAGAAACCTCAAATGGAAATGCAGCTTTTCACAATATATATTAGGTTGTGTGAAAGTCATGACAGATTTTCTATGCAATAATGCATCATGACTTTCCCAATAACTCAATAGAATGTGTTCACTGTTTTCAGCATTTAATACCCTGAAATTTCAATGTAATCCCCGTGTAAGATCAAGCAGTGCTTTAGCTTAGCTGAAGCTAAATGTGCTCTGGATTAAGAAATCGATTACAGCCAGTGACGAGTGTTTGATGAGCACTGGGTAGCTGGGTGAATACCCCTCAAATATGACTTGGATTTTAATAATTCACATAGCAAGTAACATTTATTTTAATCTAGAGAACACAGATAAGGCGGTTACTAAAAGGTACTTGATGTAGTAAAAGTATCATTGGCATCTCAGTTCAGTAGAAGCAATTTTGAACTGTTTGAATTAGTAGTAACATATCTGAAACTCAATCGTGCAAAAAATGGAGAACCAGTTTTCCACCCAACCATTTTATCCTGGACGTCTTTATAACTCTTTTATTTCTTTTAAATGGTTTTACTTACATTATTCATGAGCGAGTTAGTGTACACACAAGAGAGAAAAAGAAATGGTGAGAGAGCCACCTCCAACACATTCCCATTACACTACAATCCTCTGCCTTCTACTGGATCTTAGATGTGTGCCCACCTGGACTATTTCCAGGTCAGCTCAGGATCTGAACCTGGGGTCAGTCACGTGGACTCCGGCACTGCAGTTCATCCTACCACTGCCTGCAACCCCCAAGGCTGTGTCTACAGCTGTTTCACAAAGTAATTTTGGTAATGTCGAATCAGAAGTTGTTTTCCCGTGGGCAGTGTTCTCCCTTTGAAAAAGCATGGTTGGGTACTGAAATGTGATATTAGAATATTGAAGCTTATTTTTTAGAAATTTTGCATTACTTTTTTAGCAATGCAATTGATAAAGACCTAGAGGCAGGCTGAAAACATCAAATAGGGACAGCGCAGAAGATCCACTTACTTTGGCTGGAGGTAGATCTAAAGGAGACTTCCTATTTTTGAGATGCTATGTAAACCTCGAGGGAAATAAGGTGGAGACTAAGAAAATCCTTAATGTATTCTTGTCTAAGTCTATTGGATAAGTCAAATGCAGTTAAATAGTGACAATCTTCAGGAGCACGAAAGAATGCTGAACGCAAGTCTATCAAAATGACAAACTGAACTTCAGGCAGGACTGAGGAATATATACAGTTTGGTTTAGACACAACTGAAATAATCTCATTTGGCCTTTTTTTTTTTTTAACACAAGAGTGGTTCAAGAGATAGTTATTCCCTTTTTTATTAGTCATAATAGGTCTAATGCCTTGTCTATGCTCAGAATTAGAGGCTACTGAGGAATCTTAGGCAAAGGTTTAAGAGTCAAGTGGAGGGACCAGCAGTTAGCGTAAAGGCTATGTCGCTGGACTCCCAAGTAGTCAACCGCGGTTCGCGTCCCAGACCTGGTGGCTTAAAACTCACGCTGGGCACGTGTGCGTGCGTGCCCAATATCCCGAGAGGAGAATGGAGGAGAAGGGATTGCGGCATGACCATCCCCCCTGGGGGGTGATTTCTCACTTTCTGTCTCTATGTCTCTCTCTGTCTGTCTGGCGAGCACATGCGCCCTATAGCGAAAAAAATCTTCTCCAAAAAAAAAAAAGAATCAAGTGGAAGAATTTGGAATTATTAGAAATTATCACTATCCAGGTAGTTTTAATACTCCAAGAGATCCGTTTTTGTACAGTAGAAATATCAGCATACTATATGCAAAAGATTACCAACAGCGTGTCTTTTTTTTAAAGAGAGATTTTTGCGGTAGGGCATGTGCACTTATCAGAGGGACAGAGAAAGACAGAAAGACAGAAAACGAGAAATCACCCCCTGGGGGGATGGCCACACTGCAATCCCTTCTCCTCCATTCTCCTCTCGGGATTTTGGGCATGCATGCACACTTGCCCAGCATGAGTTTTAAGCCGCTGGGTCAGGGACTTGAACTACAGTAGACTATGTGGGAGTCCAGCAACATAACCATTATACCATCCACTGGTCCCAGCAGCATATCTTTATAGGTGGGTTCTTTTAGGAATTCAAAGGAAAGATAAGAGGTCAACAGATGCAAGGACACCATCATCTGATAAGTTTGGGGCCATTGCTGCTTTGCTTTTTGGTAATATGGAAACTGGCTATTCAAAAATATTTTTGCCTCCTATTCTGCAAGCTAATGCAGAAAAATGGCAAGCATTAAGTTTTTGTTTGTTGGCATACCGTCACTCATAATATCCTCTAATGATGTTTTGTATTACTATTATGTCTGTTGTAATACTGCTTGTTTCATTGCAAATTTCATTTATCTGTTTCCTTTCTTTTTCTTAATTAGTCTAGCTAATGGAGTGTCAATTTTTTTATCTTTTCAAAGAATCAGCTTTTGGTTTAATTTATTTTCGGTATAGTTTGTTTTCTATTTCATTTATTCCTGCTTGAATGTTTATTATTTCTTTTCTTCTGGCATTTTTGGATATTCTTATTGTTTTTTCAATTCTCTGAGGCATGATGTTAGGTTGTCCATTTGCCATCTTTCCATGTGTTCTTTCTTTCTTTTTTTTTTTTTGGAGAGGTTTTTGCTATAGGGCGTGTGCACTCGCCAGACAGACAGAGAGAGACAGAGAGATAGAAAGTGAGAAATCACCCCCCAGACGGGATGGCCACGCTGCAATCCCTTCTCCTCCAATCTCCTCTTGGGTTCTTGGGCATGCACGCACACGCACTCGGAGTGACATTAACATTGGCTTCCCTAAGTCTTTTGATCTCACCCTTAATTTCTTCAGTAGTTGTAAAGTCATTCAGGAGTAGGTTGTTTAGTTTTCATATGTTTGTTTATTTCTGTGGGTTTTCTTTCTGAATTTAATATCAAGGTTAATTCCATCATAGTTGGAGAAGATGCTGGATATAGGTTCTATGCCTTAGAATCTAAAAAGGTTTGTTTTGGATCCTATCATGTGATCAACCTTCCAAAAGGGGGGTGAGAAAAATGTATATTTCATGGTTTCTGGGTTGAAGGTTCCATAGATGTCTGTCAAGTCCATCTGATTTATGGTGTCATGTGTCTTTTTGCTTATTTTTTGTCTAGATGATTTGCCCAAAGGAGGTAGTAGGGTGTGGAGATCCCCAACAATTAGCGTGTTGCTGTCTAGTTGTTCTTTTAGATGTAGCAGTCTTTCCATCACATATTTGGGTGCTCCTGAGTTGGGTGCGTAGATATTTATAAGCTTTGTATCATCCTGATGAATTAGCCTTTTTACTACTATGAAGTGCCCTTGTTTGTGTGTTCTTATAGTTTTTGTCGTAAAGCCTATTTTATCTGAAATCAGTATCACAACTCCAGCTCTTTTTTAGTTCCTGTTGGCATGGAATTCCTTTTCCCAGCCCTTCATTTTTAGTCTATGTATGCCTTTATTCATGAGGTACATTTCTTCTAGGAAACAGATAGAGGATTTATTATTTTGTTATTTTGTACTTTTTTATTCACTCAGCCAATCTATGTCTTGATTGGAGAATTTAAACAATTAACATTCAATGTTATTACAATGGTATTATTGATATTTCTGGGTTTGTCCCTACCACTACATCGGCCATTTTCTTGGTTTATTTATTTATTTATTTTTAAATTTGTGTCTCTTTTTTTTCTTTTTCTTTTTTTGCAGACGTTTTTGCTATAGGGCATGTGCACTCACCAGAAAGACAGAGAGAGAGAGACAGAGATACAGAAAGCGAGAAATCCCTCTCCGGGGGGGGGGGTGGCCATGCTTCAATCCCTTCTCCTCCATTCTCCTCTTGGGATCTTGGGCACGCACACACATGCGCCCGGCGTGAGTTTAAGCCACCATGGTGGACTACATGTGAGTCAGCAACATAGCCATTATGCTAACTGCTGATCCCTTCTCTCTGTTTCTTTTTCATTTTCCTGGTATAGCACTCTCTTCAGAATTTCTTGAAGAGCTTGTCTGGTGTTTGTAAATTCTTTCAGGCTTTGTTTATCTGAGAATGTTTTTATCTTTTCTTCCCGTATGAGGGATAATCTTGCTGTGTAGTAATCTTGGTTGAAATTGTTTTTCACTTAACACTTTGAATATATCTTCCCATTCTTTTCTTGTGTGCATTGTTTCTGTTGAGATGTCCAATGCTAGCCTGATGGGATAACCTTTGTAAGTAACTTGATCTTTCTTGCCAATTTTAGTATCTTGTCTTTTTTTTTTTTTAAGAGGTTTTTTGCTATAGGGCGCATGCGATCGCCAGATAGACAGAGAGAGACAGAGAGATAGAAAGTGAGAAATCACCACCCAGGGGGGATGGCCACGCTGCAATCCCTTCTCCATTCTCCTCTTGGAATCTTGGGCACGCATGTACACGCGCCTGGCATGAGTTTAAGCCACCGGGTCTGGGACTCGAACCGCAGTCGACTACGTGGGAGTCCAGCGACATAGCCATTATGCTAACTGCTGGTCCCAGTATCTTTTCTTTATCTGTGGTTGTGGTCAATCTGGCTATGATGTGCTGTGAAGAGGATCCTATTTGGAGTCCTTTTTATTTATTCAGTTCTGGATATTTGAATGCTTCTCTAGAGTTGGAAAATTTTCTTCCCGGCTTTCATGAAAAGATTATCAATGCCCTTATTAGTTTCTTCAGCTTCTGAGATAGCAATTATTCAGATGTTTGAGTATTTAATGGTATCTGGTATTTCTCGTATATTGCCCTCATTTTTGGGGGGTTATTTTTCAGTCTTTTTGGTGATTTTTTCCCTAGGCCAGAAATTTTGTCTTCTACGTTCGAGATTTGATCTTCTGTGTGATCTAATCTGCGTTCAGCACTTTCGATGGAGGTTTTGATGGCTATATTATAGTCTTTATCTCTAACAGTTCCACTAAATTCTTTTTATGGCGTCTTTATCTTCTTTCAAATCATGGAAAGATTTCGTCATCTCCTGGAGCTTGTTGTCTCTTTTCTCTTGCGTATTCTGGAGTTTGTTGTTTCTTTTGTCTCACATCTGATTTAGTTTTGTCACTATGACTTCTTCCGAATTGTTTACCTGACATTTCAATGAGTTCTATTGTACTATCTGTGGATAATGAGGTGTTATTTGTTTCCTTTGAGGGGAGAGATTTTTTTCTTGGTTTGTCATATTTCTTTTGCACCTGTGCTAGTATCTAGTCATCTGATGGAGTATATGTTTCTTCCTAATTTTTGGGTTTTAATTTTGAGAGCTCAAAGATGTGTGGGAGGAGGTGAACCCTAGCCTCTCTGCAGTTCTGACTTCCTGCTGCTCATCCTGCCATCTGGCCTGTCCTTGCTGGAGCAGGTCTCAAGCTCACTTAAAATGCATTGGTTTCCCATGATGGTAATTGCCATTCTGAATAATCCTTGGTGTAATTGTGCTGGTTAATAAGGTAAACTAAGAACTTGGATTAAATCGAGAGTCTATTTAGCAGGGATTCTGTCAACTGTTGGGTTTTAGATACAAAGAGACCAATTTTAACCCAAGAAGTCACTAACACAGGGTATGTAAATTTTGTAAAATGACATCCTAGTCTGGTGTTAATTTCCCTCAACACTATACAATTAATTGCCCAGAATCAACGAACTTTAGATTTTGGAAATTTGGTAGGGTGATTTCCTATGTAAAAGTGTTTTGGTGTTAAAGAAACAAGACAAAAACTCTCCTCCTGAGGATTCTTTTTAAAGATCATTTATTTATGTCTTCCATAATGAAGAGAGATACAGAGAAATAGAGAGAGAGAGAGAGAGAGAGAGAGAGAGAGAGAGAACACACCCGCCACCTAGGACTTGATGCTGCAATGCACCTCCAGCCTTAGCCAGCCCTGGATTATAGGCATGCACATGCCTAGCATACTCAGGGAGGTCTCTGGATATGAACCTGCAGCCTTCCCATGTGGGTTTGCATTGCACAACAGTGTGTTTTACTGCTTTCCCACTGTCTGGTTCTTCCTGATGATTTCATAGAAGAACTCAGGGCAAAGTTTGTTGCTCCAGTGTATGTACACATTCTAATGAGATTCGCTTACACATTTTTCCTCAAGGCTGGGCTAGGCAATGACTTGTAGGATCGGTGTTACTTCCTGAACCCTTCGGTCTGAGTTCCTAAAGAACTCAGAACAAAGAATGGTGGTTTAATTGGTGAGAGAGACTCACCAGGGTGAAGAAAAAGTGGCCTATGGAACTGGAAGGGCTCAAGGGAACCAAAAATGGGCACCATCTCCTATTCTAGGGACCATTATTCTCTCTGAGATGAGTCTGCTTCAGACCCTGCTTCTGACACCATGTGATGTGAAAGTTAAATAAAAGGTAAGGAAGAATCTAGTATAAAACATAAAAAGCTCTATTTGGAAGTAAAATTTAGAATTCTAATCCAGAGCACATACAAAGGTCAGCATGGCCTCCTCCACAGAACAAAGGCCAGTTAGAGATATTATTAGGAAATACTGTGTGAGCTGCCAGATGCTGGGGAGGGGTAGTGGGCCAGTTCTGGCAGCAGCCAGTCTTCACACCAGCCCCAGGCAGTATCCTCTTGAGTTGCTGGGTAAAACAGGTTTTAAAATAGTGGACCTGGTGGCTTGCTTTCATACTCCCCTCACCCCTCTCTCTGGTCAAATGAAAATAAATGAATGAATGAATAAGTAAAAATAAAAAATAAATAGTTCTTAAAAAAAAAATTGTAGCAGGTAATTTTGTTCAACTGGCCTGGTAAGTAGTCTTTGAAACAGTCATCAGTAATCTGAGCACTTTTCTTTTCTCTGAGGCCTCTTGACTCCATTTTATTTTATTTTAAAATGATTTATTATTTATTTGAGAGACAGGAAGAAAAAAGAGAGAGAGAGAAAGAGAGAGAGAGACCCCCACTGCTGCTGTTTTTTCACACCACATCCACCCTCAGCCTTACCCAGCCCGGACAAAAGGGCAGGCCCCTGGTGTGTACAAGGAGACCTGGAACATGGGCCATGGGCCCAACACTGCAGAGTGCTGTGTTACTACTGCTGCAGTCCCAGCTGGCACCTCGACTCCATTTTAGTGGGGTATGACAAGAATGCTTTCCTCTGCATGCTCAGTTTCTGCGGTGGTTACAATAAAAGATCACAGTTTTTATTATATATGATTAACATGGTCAATGTATCCTACCCTAAGCCACTAAGTCAGAGTGATGGGGCAGCTATTATATACATTTGAACATTTTATAATCTTTAATCTGAGAAAAGTAAATGTATAAAAGGGCTGGAAAAGAGGAACACTGATGTCCTCATTTTGAAAGGCAATCATTTCTATGTCATGATTCGTAGAATACTATCAGTAGGAAATGGGGATGAGGACTCCAGTATGGAACGAGGAGAGTTTAATCAAACGCTCTTTGAGTTTGTCATCAGTATTGGACCAGAGGTACTATTTTTCCATTTAGTTCTGGTACTGATAATAATAACAGACAGGAAGCAGACAATTTAGGGGAGATAAAGATGCTCACGGCTGCTCATTTCTATTATAATTCAGGGCCATTTCTAATAAGGCCACTGTTGACTTTGCTGTAGAACAATGTCTTCCAGGCTTAAAATCAAGAGCCCCCTTTGCAGTCAGACCTCTCCCCTCAGCCAGTTTTTCATGCTAGGTACGTGATGACCTCTTATGGATCCCATCGTTATGTCCACACTGAGACTCTCAGTTCTCTGACGTGATGTGAAATCAGTTATAATTGACTTAAACTGGTGTTGTTTTCAGGTTCTAGAGGTGCTCCATTCAGCTGTTATGACGAAATGAATTCCAGATTAGATAGATTTGGAAACTGTGGCCGAAATATATGCCAATTCCCGTATGTATTTATGACATTATACTTTTGTTTGGAGTATAGGGTATGGATTGCTAAAATGCAAGAATATATCTGTGGCATTTTTCTTATTGTTGTTTTTTGGCTGTTATTTAATCTGACTTAAATAATATCACCCACTGCCTGCATTGTGTATGTTCAGTTAAAACAGCAGTGACCATAAATATGGCCTCTATTTGTTGTGAGGAGCTAGACATTGAAGGGAAAAGTGTATACATATATATTCCATATATATTCCACTTGTATGTATATATTCCATATATATTGCATTTATCTTCCATATATACAGTATCCCATATATATATTCCACATATATATTCTACATATATATTGCATATATATATTCCATATATGTTCCCCATATATTCCACATAAATTCCATATATATTTTCCACATACATATATATATTCCATATATATTTTCCATATATACATATATATGTAAACACACTCCATATATATATATATATATACTTCATATATAGTCTCTATATATATTTCATATATACATTCCACATATATTCCATATATATTTTCCATATATATTTTCCACATATATATTCCACATATACATATTCCATATATATTCACACTCCATATGTATACTCCATATATATATATATATATATATCCCATATATATATACTCCATATATATATATCTCCCATATATATATGTAAAAATCAAATGCGTGCAGCACTATGATCACATTTTACTTGTAAAAGTATTGAAGACCAGTACTCAAACATCAGCACTATCATTAGATGGATCAGGCTGTCAGACTGTAAAAATCATTAATTTTCCACTTTCTAAATTGCCTCATAAAACAAAAAGAGCCATGTTATAAGTCAAGGTGCATATTATAAATCAAGGTTAAGACAGTAATTTTTGTATTTTCTTTATTTTACCATAACCAAAAAAAAAAAACAAAACAAAAAAAAACAGAAAAATGCACTGCTTAGTATACTTTCAAGATGAGTATAACCAGGGACCAGCAGTTAGCGTAATGGCTATGGCACTGGACTCCCATGTAGTCGACCGCAGTTCGAGTCATGGATCCGGAGGCTTAAACTCACGCTGGGCGTGTGTGTGTGTGTGCCCAAGATCCCGAGAGGAGAATGGAGGAGAAGGGATTGTGGCGTGGCCATCCCCCCTGGGGGGTGATTTCTTGCTTTCTGTCTCTCTGTCTCTCTCTGTCTGTCTGGCGAGCGCATGTGCCCTATAGCAAAAACTTCTCCAAAAAAAAAAAAAATGAGTATAACCATACAAAAATGGCTTTGTAAGGGGTCAGCAGGTGGTGTAGTCCTTAAACTGCCGGACTCTTCCATGGCTGATGGTGGTTTAAGTCCTGTACCCAGTGAGATGCTGGGAGAGTATTCATGCATGCTCAAAAAACCCAAGGGGAGAATGGAGAAGATTGTTAAAATTGGGATTAAAATTAGTAACACATACTTTTAATTTAGCTCTATTAGCCACCAAAGTTAATTCAAGAAATGATAAGATACATTTTCTGCTTTATGTTTCTAGCAATATGCTATGTGGAAAATTAATTTGTACCTGGCCACACAGGAACTTAATAAAACGTACAAACTTATCTGTGGTTTACGCACATATACTAAATGAAGTCTGTGTATCTACGTTTCGACCCAGCCAGAAGCCACCTAAACCTAATACGGACCCTCCATTGACAACTTACAATTCAGCTGATGACAGAGATGAAACATTTGTAGAAGATGGTACCATATGTGGCCCTGAAATGGTAATGAGGACTACCAAACTCATGTGTTTTCTAATTAATTTCTTTGGCGAGATTTTTTTTGCTATAGAGCATGTGTGCTTGATAGAGAGACAGAGAGAGAGAGAAAGTGAGATGTCACCCCCTAGGGGGAATGGCCATGCTGTAACCTCTTCTCCTCCTTTCTCCTCTTGGGATTTTGGGTATGCATGGATACGTGCCCAGCATGAGTTTCAAGCCACTGGGTCTGAGACTTGAACCATGGTCAGTCATATGGGAGTCTAGTGCCTTAAACACTAAACCACTTGCTGGCCCCTTAAAAAGTAATTTTTTTTATGATTATACTCATTTTGACAGTATATCAAGCAGTGCATTTTTCTCTGATTTTTTTTTGTGGCAAAATAAACATAAAAATTACCATCTTAACTATTTTGAAGTTTATAATTTGGTGGTAGTAAATACATTCATACTGTTGAACAACTGTCTCTACCATCCATCTTCAGAATTCCTTTTTATCTTGTAAAGTGGAAACTCTATATCCATTAAATAATAACCCCTGGTCCCTCCTGTCCCTGGAAGTCATTGTTATACTTTCTGTCTCTAATCAACTACTCTAGTATGTCTTTGCTGATTGTCTACATAACCTTTTTGATGCTGAAAGTGGGGTATTGGGATCCCCACGGTGTTACAGTCTATTTCTCTTTCAGTCTAGTACTCTTCGTCTCATATATTTATGTACGGTGCTATTAGGTGGTATAGTTCTTACATTATCTGTCGAATTGAGTTCTCTATCTCTATACAGTGACCTTCTTTGCTTTTTACTAATTTAACTTGGAAGTATTTTTTATGTGTTACCAGTATAGAACACCTGCTTGTTTATGATTTCTATTTGCATGGAATAGCTCTTTGCATTCATTCACTCTTAGCCTGCGCTTGTCTCTACGGACGAGGTGTATATCCATTTGTAGGCAGCATATAACGAGGTCTAATTTTTTTAACCCATTCATCCAGTCCTATCTTTTGACTGGGGAGTTTAGTACTTTTATATCCGTGGTTATTATTGACAAATGTGGAGTTCCTCTCACCATTTCACTGGTTGCTTTCTGATTACGGATTTTTGTTGTTATTACTGCTTATCTCTGTGGTTTGATAGCTTTCACAGTGGTGGGATTTGGTTCCTTTTCTTTCTTATTCTGTGATTGCTCTCCTTGTGAATTTTAAATTTTACTCCTGTGTGTGTTTTCATGGTGCTCTGTATCTTCATTTCCAAATGTTGGACTTCCTTAAATGTTTCTTGAAAAGTCCATTTAAAATTGGTGATTTCTCTCATCTTCTGTTTGTCTGGGAAAGATTTCTTTGCTCCTTCAATTCTGAAGGATCGCTTTACTGACTAGAATATTCTTGGCTGGAAACCGTTTTCACACGCACCTGGCGTGAGTTTAAGCCACTGGGTCCAGGAATCAAACCGCCGTCGACTACATGGGAGTCCAGCAACATAGCCTTTACGCCAACTGCTGGTCCCCTCCTGAGGTAATTCTTAACTAATCAAGTTATTTTTCCAAAATGACTTGTCCTTGGTCCTTCTAAAAGAACTTCTGGTACTAGATGGTAAGAAGGTAAGACCTCCAGCTCTTTATATGTGATGAGTCTCGCAGTTTGACAGTCCATAGCTAATCACATGAATCTATTTGTTCAGTAGTAACAGTCATTCTGTTTACTGTATACAACCTGCACACCATCACAGAAGGGTCGGCACACTCACTGATATCTACGCAAAATTCCAGGTTTTTCCCGGAATTCTTCTTACGCATTATTCAGAAACACAATCTGAACATTTGACTGATTTTCACTTTCTTTTGCCTTGTTTTAGTATTGTTACAAATTTGCCTGTTTGGAAATTAAATACCGGATAAATTACACATTGTGTGAGTCTTCTTCAGACTGCAATATGCATGGAGTAAGTGACTGCAATGTTCATTTTAAACAGTGTGGTTTGAAAATTTTATAATCAGGGATTTAAAAAATCAATTTCAATGTTGTTGTTTTTATTTTTTTGGCCTTTTCCTGCTATTTGGTATCATTTAATAGTCTGTAGCTTCAGCTTTTTTCTTCTCATGATATGTGCAAAACTATTTATTATTAGAGAAGATAAAGGGGAAAGACTTAAGACGATTCTAGGTGTACAGAATGTTCTGTGAACACGTGGGGGTGTGCACGTTGTAAGCACCATAAGGCAGTACTTTTTTTTTTTTTTTTTTGGAGAGGTTTTTGCTACAGGGCGTGTGCGCTCGCCAGCCAGAGAGAGACATAGAAACAGAAAGCGAGAAATCACCCCCCAGGGGGGTTGGCCACGTCGCAATCCCTTCTCCTCCATTCTTTTCTTGGGATCTTGGGCACGCACACACACGCGCCCAGCATGAGTTTTAAGCCACCGGGTCCAGGACGCAAACTGCAGTCGACTACGTGGGAGTCCAGCGACACAGCCATTACGCTAACTGCTGGTCCTCATAAGGCAGTACTTTACCGCGGAACCCAAACCATTCCATTTTACAGAGAGGAAACTTAGACACAGGCAGGTCACTGGAATTTTCTCATTAGCATTACTAGTTAATTTAGAATCTGGGCAATTCTGTAAAGCTGGCAAGTAGATTACAATTAGTGGCATGGTACTGATAAATGCCAGATATTTAGGCTGGCTCTGGTGGAATTTTAAAGAATTTTTAAGAAGAAAAAAGAAATTGACTTGGCAATGTAGCTAGTATGGACGATTGCAAGAGAAAATTTGATGAATTTTTCAAGTTAAGATAAAAATCTTTAGAATGAGATATTCTTTGGAATAAGTGTGGGTTATTTTTTAATCTCCATCAAAAGTCATCTTTGTACATAATTAATTCTATTTTTTGATTACTCCAGGTTTGCAATAATTTTAACCATTGCCAGTGTGAGAAAGGGTATTCTCCTCCTGACTGTCATGAACTGAAAGGAGAGTTTGGAAGTATTGATGATGGACATGTAATTAAGGAAGCTGGTTAGTGTCCTTAAAATTTCATTAATTAAATATAATATGTAGGAGAATAAATGAAAAGTTCCAAGCTAGATTGCAAAACAATGTCAACAAACACAACTTATTTGTAACGTTTTACAATATTCATCAGTGTAAATTTGTACTGTTCGAAGTCAGCATTGACAATGTTTACCAAGAAAGGTATACGAAATGTCAAGCAATTGTGAAAGTGGGAATTTTAGTGCATATCACTTAACCACTTAATTGAAATTATTCACTTTGGATTGTATCATATGTTCATAATTTAAAATAGCATCAGTAGTCATTGTTACATGAGTTCCTCTGGAACCTCCCAGGGTATCCTTTTTTCCCTCCTCACTTCCTAATTGGTTGTCTTTCTTCTGCATTGTAAAGGCTCCCTGCTAATGTTTTGAAGTTTCCTTGTTCAAACACCCTCCCAACTCCCATGGTGTTCTTGAGTACTATTTGTGATTGAGAAGGCTTAATGAACAATAACTTTCTTTTTGAATTCACTTCTTTCCTGTCACATTTTACAGTAAGCAGTGAGAAGATTCAGTTTTAGGACTTGCAAGTTTTATCTTCCACAAAACATTAGAACACAGTTTAGCCAAGTTTTTGCCATTTTAGAACAGGAGGTGCCTCTTCATTGTCCAATAACATGTTCTTTGTTCCCGCCAGAGATCTCACCAGAAGCACCTTTAGCGTCCATATTTGTACTAACATTCTGTTCGTGATTATTTATGTAATGTCTAAGATGTAAGTTATTCTCTTAGCACAGTTACCTTTAATATCTGAATTTCTACCAATAGTCCCTTCATGACAATCCAGGCTTTTTCTAGCGTGCATATCAAAATTACTCCAGCCTCCACCCATTACCCACTTCAAAAGCCACTTTTTGGATCAGCAGTTGGTGTAATGGCTATGTTGCTGGACTCCCATGTAGTCACATGTGGTTCGAGTCCTAGACCTGGTGGCTTAAACTCAAGCTGGGCGTGTGTATGTTAGTGCCCAAGATCCTGAGAGGAGAATGGAGGAGAAGGGATTGTGGCGTGTCCATCCCCCACTGGGGGGCGATTTCTCGCTTTCTGTCTCTCTGTCTCTCTCTGTCTTTCTGGTGAGTGCACATGCCCTATAGCAAAAACCTCTCCAAAAAAAAAGTCACTTTCACATTTTTAGGTCTTTTTTTGTTTGTTTGTTTTAGGTTAAATTTTTTATCATGATTTTTAATTTACACATGCTAATTATATATTTATGGGTTATAGTGTGGTTTCCCTTTTCTTTCTTTTTTTTCAGTTTTTTGCATGAATTTTTATTGAATTCAGCTCAGAGTCCTTTTGAAGAGAGGTGGCTTTACCAAGCATCCTGAATATATCTTTTATGGGCTGCCCATCTGTTTCCATTTTGGAGCAGCTTTGTGCAGTTAATCATAGCATTATTTATAGGTATAAAAAGCTGGGAGAAGGACCAGCAGACAGTATAATGGTTAACATTGCTGGGCTCCAATGTAGTAGATCGCAGTTTAAGCCCTGGACGTGGTGACTTAAAACTCATGCCAGGTATGTGTGCACGCATGTTCAAAATTCCAAGAAGAGACTGGAGGAGAAGGGATTGTGGTGTGGCTATTCCCCCTGGGGGGTGATTTCTTGCTTTCTGTCCCTCTATCTCTGTCTCTCCTGCAAGTGCATGCACCCTATACCAAAAACCTCTCTCTAAGAAAAAAAAGAAAGGAAAAAAGTTGGGAGAGCTGGGTTCTGGTGCCAGTGCCCATCTCTTCAGAGGTGCATCCCAATTCTCCCCCTCCCCCCCCAGGCTTGCCTTTGGCGCCTCCAGCCCTCTGGCCTACACGCCACACCACCTACTTCCTGAGTCCTGCCCCTAAGAAAGGGGGTTTCTGATGTCAGTGATCTCTCTTTGGGAGTGACCCCAACCTCCTAGGATTTCCCTTTGGAGCCTGGGGCCCTCCAGCTCATGAACTGCCCTTCCTGCTTCCTGAGTCCTGCCTGCCAAGACACTGGGTTTCAGTGCCAGAGCTTGTCTCCTTAGGGTTGAGCCCAGCACCCCAGGTTTGGGGCTTGGGGCCCTTCAGCCCATGTGCTGGGCCGTGAGGCCCTTCACTAAGTCATATCTTCCTGTCTCATCCCAAGCTCTTCAGGAGCTAAAAGGTTGAAGGACGAGCTTACCACCTGGAGCTGCACACATAAACTTTAACTGCTTCCATCCGGAAGACACAGCCCTCTACCAAGAACACACTCAGGCTGTAGAGCTGATTTTGCCTCTCCAATACTGTAGAACCTACTCCAATAATAGGAAGAAGTGAATACTTAATAAAATATTGGCCCCAAACCAGAACAGAGACAGAAGATACATGAGAAAATAAGGAAATATCTCTGCCCCAACAGACCATAGTACCTCCTCACCAACAATAGATAGGACGAAATGATTCACAGAATTGTCCAAAAAGAATTCTGAATATTCATTGTGACAAAACTCAGTGAGATGCAAAATAAAGCAGACGATCTATTTTTTTTTGAGAGGTTTTTGCTGTAGGGCCCGTGCGCTTGCCAGAAAGGTAGAGAGAGACAGGAAGTGAGAAATCCGCCCCCCCCCCCCCCCGGGGGCGGACCCCCCCAACATTTTTTTGGGGATGGCCACACCGCAATCCCTTTTCCTCCACTCTCCTCTCAGGATCTTGGGCACACATGCACACATGCCTGGCTTGAGTTTAAGCTACCAGGTCCGGGACTCGAACCATGATTGATGACATGGGAGTCCAATGACATAGCCGTTATGCTAACTGCTGGTCCCAAGAAAGGGTATTTACTTACTCCACTCCTATGGAGTAGAGAACTGGGTATCTCAGCTAAGACGATTAGACAAGAGGAAGACATAAAGGGCATCTGCACTGGGAAGGAGTCAGTCACGTGTTTGCAGATTACAAGATCTTACAGAGAAAAACCTTTTTAGGTATTTGTTAGTATAGCACCGGAGCGCTTGGGAGCAAAGTCTGTGTTAGGATTACCTTGAGAAGCAGAAACAAAAGGAGACAGAGACATATGACGAGGAGTTGTCGCTCACACTGATGTAGGCTGGCAGTCTCAAGATCTGCAGGGCAGGTTGGCAAGCTAGAAGGGAATGAAATGGTTAGAGGAAGAATAGGGCAGAAGGTTGATAACTAGAAAGCATCTCATTTTATATGTTATAAAAGGCTTGTTTGGTTTTTATTATGTTAAAATATGTAAACACAATGATCAATGTTTGGGAACAATGGTGGTGGTATCCTTTCTACCTGCAATCTGGCTGATAAAACGTCTGATGTCATTGAGAGTTGTTATTTTCCATTCTAGCAAGAAGTTTTTCGGAGGGAAGACGAGGCACTTTTCACAAACAGAAGTATCAGATGATTTTCTACATTTCTCTGCCTGTGATTATCATCATTACTGCTGTTTTACTAAAGAAGAACAAATTAAGAGAGCTGTGTGACAGAGGGGAGACTGAAAGTGAGAGGTATATATATAGATATAAATTAATACACACGAGTGTATTTACTTTATCGCATTAAGTCAGAAATTAGTATTCAAGTTTCATCAGGAATGAACTGAGATTACAGGAAAGGCCGTGTAAGGAGAGACCAGGGACACGCTTGAGACTGGTCTCATGTCCTTTATGTTTTTCTAGTCTTACTCATGAAAACCACTCAGTTGAATGACAGTTTTACTCTAGGGGAGGGTACATGACTGCAAAATAATTTTGGAGGGTTATTTAGCCTTGTGATCCACTGACCTTGCCAAAATAACCCTCTTGTCCAGGGCCTTTATGACCAATAGGTGGCACTGAATTATAACAGAACTTAAAAAAATACATATATTTATTAGAGATTTTCAGGCCGGTGGCCGCAGTATATCTCTTGCCTAATTGTTACAAGAACACTTTTCTAAACTATAGACTATCTTCAAACCTGCTTCCAAAATACATATTTTTCTAAATATTGATGTTGCTAACTTGTATAGTCAATTCTCAATTAGAAATTTCACATATAGTTAATAATATCAGGTTAAGAGTCAGAAAGGTAAGATCTTGTAGTAGACAGAAAATGAAATATCACTTCAGAAAAACTGTTTTTCTTTGGGAGAAGTTTTTGATATGGGACGTGTGTACTCGACAAAGACAGAAAGGGAGAAATCAACCCCTACCCCCACCCCCCAGTGGGGATGGCCACACCACAATCCCTTTTCCTCCATTCTCCTCTTGGGATCTTGGGCACACACTTGCACACGCCCAGCATGAGTTTAAGCCACTGGGACTCAAACCATGGTTGACTACATGGGAATCCAGCGACATAGCCAGTATGCCTACTCCTGGTCCCCAAAACTGGTTTTTTTTTTTTTAAAGAATTATTTATTTAATTTATTTTATTATTATTTAAAAAATTTGCTATAGGGCATGCACGTTCGCCAGATACAGAGAGAGAGAGGGAAAGTAAAGCAAGCTGTCACATTTGGGACTTGAACTGCAGTTGGCCATGTGGGAGTCCAGTCTCTCAATCACCACGCCACCTGTTGGCCCAGAAACCCTGGTTTAAAGTATCAGTCTTGCATGTAAAACTGTGCTATCTTGAGTACGTGATTTAATCTGTGTGGATTTAGAATTATTCTCTGTAACTCTATAAAGTTGGAGGTAACAACAGCTTTCCGGTGTATGAACAGCTTTTGAGTCCATCAGTTTGATGAGTTGCCCCATCATCTGTAATTAGTAACATACATATTTAAACATCAGAGTGAGCCCCTTCTGAATAAGTCACAGTATTTGGCCACAGAAATACTTACCTCTAGTTTTATCTTTCAAGAAGTGGTGGGACCAGCAGTTAGAGTAATGGCTATGTCGCTGGACTCCCATGTAGTCGACCGCAGTTCGAGTCCTGGACCCGGTGGTTTAAACTCACACTGGGCGTTTGTGCGTGTGTGCCCAAGATCCTGAGAGGAGAATGGAGGAGAAAGGATTGCGGTGTGGCCATCCCCACTGGGGGGGTGATTTCTCGCTTTCTGTCTCTCTGTCTCTCTCTGTCTTTCTGGCAAGCGCACGTGCCCTATAGCCAAAAAAAAAAAAAAAAAAAAAAAAAAAACAAACCTCCCCCCCCCCCCCCCAAAAAAAAAAGAATTGGTAAGAAAAGAACACATGAGTATACTTGGTGAGAGAAACAAAGAAATAGAAAAATTAATTGAAGTTTTTGAGCATGCTACGTTACGGTTTTATCATGCTTTGACCTGAAGAATCAGGGATCTCCTAGTAAGCGGGTCTGCCTGCCTGTGCAGCTGTGAACTGACAATAGAAGTATTTGGGCAAGTGTAAAATGATGATGAGACTCAGGCAACAAAGCAGGGCGGCCTCTGGCATTTGTCCTTCACGGGGAGGCGGTATCTGCTGATTTGTTTCATGTTGCTGGAAGGATCCTTTTTGTTTGAGTCATGCTGTTTCTGTGAACACAGTTCATTCAAGTAACATTTCATTCTTCAAGACTCCAAAGCTTTTTTACTTTAAAATTGTTATCCATTTTATAGATCTGTGTCGGAAGAAAGCAGCCAGAGCAAGTCAACCACCTCCAGTGCAGAGGACAGAACAAGTGAGTGCGGAGCTCTGTGCGAGGCGTTGATTGTTCCAGAGTCCTTCAAACGGTTACTCTCAACCCCAAACCATTGTAAAGAATATCCCCGTTGTCCTTGTAGGTTATTTGATAATAGTACGCAACAGAATGTGGTTTCCTATTAGCTAGTCTCTCCTCCAGGACCTACCACAGGAAGGATTTCCGGAGGGTGACAGGAGCATTTATGAGCACGTGAATGTGGGAATCTTTTCTTAAGCATTGGGAAGGAGCGTTTATATTTTGATGAAATTTGATTGCCATGAGGAAGGATACCTGGTCCTCTGAGGGTCTGTCATAGATGGTGATAGTTACACTATTGTCTCAGAGGAAAAAAAAATACTGACTGATAGTAAGATCTTAAAAGCTGCCATTCATTTCACTGTCTTAACTCATCTGGGAAGGTGAAGTTAGAAATCAGATTATGAATGAATCAAACACAACATTTTGTGAAGTTAGACGTTTCCACTCCTTGTACGTATTCATTGTCCTTAATAAATAATGGCTAGACTATAAAAGGAGATAGTGTATCATATAGTATCCGAAATCATATGTTTTATGTTTTCTCTTCATCTTTGTGGGACAAAATTGACCATGACCAAGACTGACCATGATGATTCATTTAAGAAATATTGGTATAAATGTCTAAACCCAGGGAATTCCACATTTTTCTTATTTTTTTTTAAGAGAGATTTTTTTGCTGTAGGGTGTGTACACTCACTGGAGAGACAGAGAGAGACAGAAAGCAAGAATCACCCCCAGGGTGTTGGCCATACTGCAATCCTTTCTCCATTTTCCTTTTGGGATTTTGGGCACGAGTCTGGGACTCGAACTGTGGTCAACTATAAGGGAGTCCAGCGACATAACCATTATACAATCTGCTGGTCCTGGGAATTCCTAATTTTAGGAGGAAGCATTGGGGAGGGTGCTTTCTTTCTCTGGCATGTGCATGCATCCTCTGGCAATGACAAAAAATGTTAATTTATAAGAAATTCTAGCCTTTTGGCTGGAACTGCCATCTTCCAGTAATTAACCAAAATGACGAAACACAAAAGGAAAGAGGATAGGCACCGGGTATATGTTCTCTAGGCCTTTTTAGAAAACATGGGGTTGTTCCTTTGGCGACATATATGCGGATCTACAAGAAAGGTGATATTGTAGACATTAAGGGAATGGGTACTGTTCAAAAAGGAATGCCCCACAAATGTTACCATGGCAAACTGGCAACGTCTACCTTACCCAACCTTCTGTTGGCATTGTTGTGAACAAACAAGTTAAGGGCAAGATTCTTGCCAAGAGAATCAATGTGCGTATTGAGCATATTAAACATTCTAAGAGCAGAGATAGCTTCCTAAAACGTGTGAAGGAAAATGACCAGAAAAAGAAAGAAGCCAAAGAGAAAGGTACCTGGGTTCAACTAAAGCGCCAGCCTGCTCCACCCAGAGAAGCACACTTTGTGAGAACCAATGGAAAGGAGCCTGAGCTACTGGAACCTATTCCCTATGAATTCATGGCATGATGGGTGTTAGAAATAAACTAATCTGTGATCTATTAAAAGAAAAAAGAAATTCTAAAACTCTTGCTCAGTTAATTCCAACAAAGCCCTGAAAAACAGAAGGAAGTTGATATATCCTATAAGATTGGAGGTATACTAATAAATGTTATACAGCTATCTCTCTGTGGGGGAAACGTGCCCGGTTCTATAGGTATGAAAAGCCATCATCCTAATACAATTTCAAGACAGACTGTTTTAGATTCTAAAAAAATTAGGCATATGCCTGCTTTTTTGAAAAAAACTTTATTTTGATTCTTTAAGTAACAATGTAATGCATATTATAATACAGAGAATAATCAGAAGTTTTAAAATTATAATTCTTATGAAAAGTTAGAAAACAGAAGAGATACTTGCACTCAAAGATAGTGCATGAAATTAAATATTAAAGAAAAGAGAGGTGGAACCAGCAGGCTGTATGGTGGTTATGGCACTGGACTTCCACATGGTCGACTGCAGTTTGAGTCCTGGATCTGGCAGCGTGCTTTCTCACGTTCTCTCTTTCTCTAGTCAAATTAAAAATAAATAAATAAATAAATTAAATTAAATGATTTTTTTAGGAAAAAAAGTAAAGAGTGGTGATAAGTAGAAAGGAAAATAAAAATAAGCCCCAAAGATGATTTTTTGAGAAAAGATCAATAAGATGAAAAAAAATCAGTGAGTAGTTCAAGTTGAAAAAAGTAAGTTATACAAGTTACGAATATTGAATATTAAGATGGAATTAGATCTTAGTTTTTGGATGCTAGAAGAACTTAAGTCAGTAAACTTAAACTTCTAGATTAAATATAGCACATTATTTCAAAAATACATCTTTCCATTTTCCTAAAATAAAGAGAAAGAAATGGAAATGTAATTTGAAACTTGCTTAGAAAGTTAGCACTTGGGATCTTTTCAGGTATTCATTTGGAACTCAGGAACCTAGCTGAATTAAATGAACGTGCCCTCAGTTATAGCAGCCTATTATCTAAACGGCCAAACAAGTCATAATACCAAACTCAAAGTGATTGGGGGCGGGGGGGCATGTAACATATATTACCCACTCTGATGGGAAGTACTGTGAAGTCACAGTGCAGTGAAAATGGATGAGTAATCACATACTAGGACATGAGTGAGGAATTGGGAACAATAATTCAAACTATTATATCTTCCAAATAGTTACAGAAGAGATAATGCCAGTCTTCTACAGGCGTATGCAGAGAGCACACACATAGTGATGAGGTATTTCCCAGGTTGCTTCATGAGGAGACTCTGAATATTTAGGGTCTTTTTAGTTTTCGGTTTTTATAAACACCCTATAATAAACAATCTAGAATGTATCTACATCTTGGAGCAATTTTCCTGTTATAGCCTGGGAAAAATCCCCAGAGCAGACATTAGTCAAAGCCTAAGTGTAGTATAGGACCAGCTGGTGGCACGATGGTTAAGGCAGCTTCATCCCACGTGGTCAGCTGTGCAGTTGAAGTCCCAACCAGGTGACTTGTAATGCACACTGTGAGCACATGCATGTGCATTCCCCTGATCCCGGGAGGAGAAATGAAGGAGGAAGGATGCAGGACAGCTATACCCTACTGGAAGGGAGGCGCTTTCTCACTTTTCTTCTCTCTTTCCATCTCTCTCCCTAGCAAGTGCACACGCCCTCTAAATTTTTTTTTTAAAGACAGAAAAATAATAGTATAATATGTACACTTTTATTATTTCTATTATTCTTGATAGTGACAAATTACCAGTCCATTTGTATCAAGTTGCAACTTTCATACGTTCTTTATTTTTAGTCAGTAGAGTGTGTGAGTGATATGCTTTCTGAACTCTAGCATCTATTACATTTTTCTTTGTTTTACTATCCTATTGAGTTCTTTTGGTAATTTTTCATGATGCCATTTAGTATTGAACTATTTCTATGAGCATGACAACAGAAGTAGAAAGGTCAGTCTGATCATATGGAACTAGAGGCATTTTGAGACTCCTGTTAGTATATGGGAAACTCAGTATATTTGACTTTTCCCCTTCTCCTCCTCCCCTGACTTTTCTACTATTTTAGTTGAGATATTAGACCTAGTCTATGGTTAATAGTTTCTGTTTTTTAAACATTATGCATTTTGGTTCTCCAAATATCTCATTTTCAGTTTTATATGTACATTTCTAATAAACATTTTGAATTCATGTCATATTCAACTAATTTGAATTTTCCTAATTCTAAAGCATGCTTTTAGCCTTTAATGGCGTTAAGATCCTGTTGCTGGCCCAGCTGCAGAGTTCTGTGCTAAGACCCTTGCGTTGCTCTGGAGCCCTGGTGGCCCAGCTTTGATTTCTGGTACAACCTAAAGGTCAGGTGTGAGCCCAAAGCTGCCTTGGGCAATATAGCAAGACCCTGGCTAAAAGAGTCTTGTAGTGATCACCTGTAGTCCTAGCTACTTTGGAGACTGAGGCAGGAGGATCATGGCCAGCAAGACCCAATCTTTGAAAAAATAAACAAAACAGAACTTTTTATTTTCCCTCAGCCAGGGACCTTGAAATGCCCAAATCTTGCCTTTACAATCAATTTCTTAGTTTATTCAGAAAGTCATGTACATGTGAGTGTATAAGTCATTCTGCTACTTTTGATAGTAGTAATAAATAATAAACATTAATATTAAAATACAGGCCGGGTCTCTGTGATGCAGTGGTAACACAAGGGCCCTGAAACATGCTGGCCCAGAATCCCAAGAAGCCTCAGGGCTGGGGAGAGGGATCACGGTGTGATGAGACCCTGTCAAAGGTGCTCTTCTCCCTCTCCCACTTCTGTGCTATCATGAAATATGTACTTATATATGTGTATATATATTTAATGTATGTATGTATAGAGTTCATGTATATATACTTTCTGTACACACGTTTTCATGTACATATGTATGTATTTCGTGTACATATGTGTGTTGTATATTTCATGCACCTACATATATGTATGTGTATATTTCATGTGTACATACATATATGCATGTATTTCATGTATATATACATATATATACACATATAGAGGTATATATAACTATATGTATGTATATATTTTATGTATATATGTATGTAGATGTTCATGTATACATATATAGGTATCATATATGGCTATGCATGCATGTATATACATATTTCATGTATATATGCATGCATGTTCATGCATGTATGCATGTATTTCACGTGCATACATACATGTATGTATATATTTCATATATACACACCTATGCATGTTTATATTTAATGTATATATACATATATAGGTTTATATTTCATGTATGTATATGTATATATTTCATGTATACGCCTATATATGCATGTATATGTATTCCATATATACATATATGCATATGAATATGTCATGTACACACATATATGCATACATTCATGTATATACACATATTTATATGTTTCATGTATATACACACATGTATACACACATATATGCACATATACACATGTTCATACACATGAATATACACATAGGTATATATTTCATGTATATATACATTATGTAGAATATATTTCATGTATATGCATACATATATAGGTATATATGAGATGAGAAGTCACCCACCGGGGGGATGGCCACACACCGCAGTCCCTTCTCCTTTATTCTCTTGGGATTTTGGGCACACATGCACGGTTGCCCTGTGTATTTTTTAAGCTGCCAGATTCAGGACTTGAACCACATAGTCAGCCATATAGGAATCCAGCCGTCTCAACCGCCACCCCACCTGCTGCCCCAGGAAGTTACTTTTATTGAAAACCAAGGGAAAAGGGTGTTTTTTCTGGAATGAACTTTCATTTTCTTAGTCTCTTCTCTCTCTGTCTCTATTTCTTATGAAAGAGAGCAGGTTCGCGTGCATGTGCACATGTGAGAAAGAGAAGCCTTTTTGACAGGGGTCTTGTTACGCTGCAATCCCTTTTCCTCTGCCTTCCAGTTTCCCAGGATCTCTGGTGCCTGCATACCTGGCCGATCATTGTCAGTCTGTCCCAGAGGTCCCGCAGTTAGCCAGGTAGCCTGCAGCGTTACAGTCTAGTAGGGGTGGCGTGCACCACCTGGGTGACTAGTCATATTTCATTTTCAATCAATCACACCTTTTTAAATGACTTGAGTTAGAACTATTTCAGCTACCAAAAAATGAATGAATAAAAAGCAACCAGGCATTTTGTTTGTATTTTGTTTTCTTCTACAGCAACAGTCTCTTAATGACCTTGAAACTAATGCCTGGAGAGAGGATAGTACCAAAGTCATCATCAGAAACTGGCCTGAATCTAGAAAGAAAAAGCACAATTTCTCCCTCATCTCTACTGCTGAGGGTTCTTCAACTGAAATAAATCTGTGCCTGAATATTCTGACTTTTGTCTGGTGTTTTCTCTGCATTTTCAGCCCCGCCTTCTGCCATATCTACCCCAATTTGAATCCAGAAGAAGCTCTGATCAGGTTAAAGCAGCTTAAATCCCACATCCCATGTAGCAATATGCTGGCTGCCTGTTCCGCCTCACGGAGAGAGGTTCCCTTTTCTCCTCTGCCCCCTAAATTGGCCTGAATCTCCTTTCTACAGTCTGACTTTTCTCTTTCCTTCAGAACTCCTCGCCTCCAGCTAGTCAGTGGGTTGCCCCAGTGGCATTTACTCAGGCAGGATCTGAATCCAAGTCCTTTCTTGTTACTGCTTCTTCCCTTTGAAAGTCACATGCCCATTTTAGTGTGAGGGAGACCTGCTTACCGAAGCTAAGGAGGCAAGGACTTCTGGGGCTCTTACTTGTACAGACCCTTCTGAAAAGCATGGCCTAATTTTGCATTCACTCTGCTCATCAATGGAGCATGGATTTGCCTCGCTGCTCGCCCTTTCCCCTGGCAGTGGTGCATTGATGGCAGCTCCCACCACCTCACCGAAACTCATCAATAAAATATCAGAACTGCAGAACCAGCAAATGGCGTAGCGCTTACATTGCTGGACTCCCACATAGTTGACTGGAGTTCTAGACTCAGACCCTGTGGCTTGAAACTCATGCTGGGTGCATGTGTGTGTGTGTGTGTGTGTGTGTGTGTGTGTGTGTGCCCAAAATCCCTAGAGGAGAATGGAGAAGAAGGGATTGTGGTGTGGCCACTGCCCTGAGAGTGATTTCTCACTTTTTGTCTTTCTGTCTCTCTGGTAAGCGTATGTGCCCAATAAAAATTTTTTTCAGAACTGGGGCCAGCCAGTGGCTTGGAGATTGGAGCCCCTGGATTCCACATGGCTAATTCTGCAGTTTGAGTCCTGGACCTGGTAGCTTGAGAGCCACACCCATGGTGTGCGTGAGTACTGGAAATCTTGAGAGGAGAGTGGGGGAGAAAGGATCACAGTGTGGCCATCCACCCTGGGGATGGGGGGTGATTTCTCATTTTCCCTCTCTCTGTCTCTTTCTCTAGTGAGTGCACATACGCTATAGCGAAAACTAAAAAAAAAAAAAAAAAGAAAAAATTCTGAAATTTGGCAGTTCAGGTGTTAAACAGCCATTATTAAACACATCACAAAAACGTAAATATCTTAAGAACCAATACTAAAAACTTAGCCTTTCTTAATTATTTTATTCTGTTCTGCTCTTTGCTCTGAGGTTCTGTCTACTGCATCTCTATAAGGGGACTATTTATTATGGTGTGTGACTTGCCCCTTGTCCTGCTGTCCTACGTGAATCATCAAGTGGTACCTTCACAGGGGACTTCCCTGAAATTGACTAACCTATAAAACTGGGTAAAATTTCCCCTCTCCTCCCAGGGAGATCGTAAAACATTTACTAGTATACATCTACTCTTGTGGGGTATAACAACTTCCTTCTGTTTTTATTTTCAGTGCTTTGTTGGCATTAACTGGGCATTGGTTTTAGAATTTCTTATCATTAACATTTTTGTGGTTGTGGCCAGAGGTTGCATGCACATGCCAGAGAGCACACCCCCAGTGAGATGAGGTCACACCACAATCCTTTTTCCTCTATTTCTCCATCCCAGAACAATTTGAGCCATGCACACACATGTGCCCAGTCCATGTTTCTAGCTGGCCAACCACGGTCAGCCACGTGGGACCCAGCTCCCCAGACACAGCCGTTAACCACCGCCCTGCAGGTACCACGTCGAGGTAGCATTGCTGCTTTTGTTGACCGACTCTACTGAACTTGTATCAATAGGAAGATTCAAAGATGAAGTGGAAATGTCTTCTAGAAACCTTTTGTTTTTAGATTTGACAGAGGACATGAATATTGAAAGTATGAAGATGCTGCTAAAATAAAATGTTTTACTGCCTGGCAGAAAGCATCCCTATTTCTCTTAATTCCATAGAAAGTATGTCAAAGGCCCGAGAAGATTTCGTGCAGTAATTGTAATTTCCTGAGGGTTTTTAAGTTCCTAGTTTTAAATCATAGACGTTAATCTGGATTTATCTGTAAAAATCTGTGCTGTTAGGCAGATACACTCTGGTTTAAAATATTTCATACAAGATATATAAGTTCTCAAAAATAAAAATGTAAAAGCATGTCCTCATTACCCATTCATCTTCCTTTAATTTCTGGATGTACTCCTCTCTAAAGTGTTCCTTGAGAAACTGTCTACAATGAGAGTTCCTTTAGTTTTTGTTTGGAAATAATTTTACTTCTTCAAATTTAAAGGGACACTTGTCTGTGCAGGATATTTTTTGATGAAACCATTTTTCTTTCATAATTTGAATATGTCATCTCAGTCCATCCTGGCCTTTAAGATTTCCCAGGAGGTCTGAGGTTAGTGTGATGGGATAGCCTCCAGGACTCAGGTGGTGCTTCTTTCTCTCTCGCAGATTTTAGGATTTACCTTCATCCTCGACTCTGGACACTCTGAATACAATATGCCTTGGAGAAGATCCTCTTGTGTTAAATCTCTTTGGCATCCTTTGAATTTCCTGATTCTAGATGTGTGTGTTACTCTTTAGATTTGGGGATTTTTCCACTATTAGTTCATGAAATATATATTTTCTGATATTTAGTTTTCTAATTTAACTCCTCTCTTTGCCTTCTGGGATACATACTATGAGACTAATCCGTTGTTTGATGATTCAGATTTTCTATATATTCATTTTTCATTGTCCTTCTCTCTCTTTTCGATACCTTGAGCTATTTCAAAGCTATGAGAGTTGTTTTACATGGTCTAACCTGCTGTTAATGATTGCCACGGAATTTGTTATTTCCTGAATTTTATTCATCTCTAGGATTTCTGTTTGATTCTTTTTTAAGATGCTTATCTCACTACTAAATTCCTTAGTCATATCAGGAGAGATTTTTCTCATCTTCTGCAGTTGCATTCTCTTGCACTTCACTGAGTTTTATCAGCATCGATATTCTGAACTCTCCAACATTTCTAGGCTTTAATGCATTTTGTTCAATGTTAGTGAAATACTTCCTTGTCTTTTTTAATATCTTTTGTTCCTGCTTAATATTTAGGCATCTCAATTCTTATACTTCTTCCTATAAAAGGCATGGTTTCCCTCATGCCAACCACACCTCATGCCCTGTGGGTTACTCCAGCCCTATGCAGAGAATGGGGGTCTCCTCCAGAAGAGGCAGCCGAGTGATGGCTGCTGACAAAGGTGACATCTCCTGTCTATATGAATGAGTCGCATTCATGGGTGGGAGGCTTGGGTGCTGGCTGAGGAGCTGTGACCCCGGGCATGAGTAGTTGCTTAGTCCCCCTTTGCATGTGCTCCCTGTAGGTGAAGGGAACTGTCGGCCTCGGTTCCTGAGTCTTCCCAGCACCATAGCACCCTCACTTGCAGGTCATTTGTTTCCGGAGGGAGGGGTAAGAGCTGCTATTGGAGTGAGTGGGGGGCTTGCAGTCCTCTGTGGTGCCAGCAGGGAGGACCTTGAGTGGGCTTCCATGGCTCAGGCAGGTGGCAGGGTCTCTTGGTGGCATCTATCATGAAGACAGGTAGCAGGGTCTCTGAGTGGGCTTCCATGGCCTTAGGAGGAGGTAGTGGAACTATTGAGGTGCTCTGATCCACCTCATTGGCTCTAGAGGGGGCCAGGGGATGCCTTGGGCAGGCCTCTGCAGTGTATAAGGCGTAGCAGAGACACAAAGACACTCTAAGTGGTCATCTAGCATGCTAGCAGGGGCCTGGAGAGTCATAGGAGTGCTCTTAGTGTCCCTTCATGATGCTAATGGGGAACAGCAGGGGGTGGAGGTGCTCTGAGTAAGTCCCCACTAGCTATGGCTAGAGAGGATGTGGTGACACCTGGGCTGGCTTTGGGGGCATTAGTTTAGGCCAGTGGTGGTTTGGGGCACTCTGGGAAGGCTCCTGGATGCTGAAGGGAATCAATGGGGGTACAGGGCTCTAGCAGAGGCAATGGGGGCGTGGGGTGCTTGGGGGAGGCCTCTGTGGCACTATCTGTGGGTGTGAGGGTACTCAGAGTGGATCTCTGGGCACTCATGGGAACTCGTGGGGGAGTAGGGTTGCTCTAGGCTCACCTCTGGGGTACCGGTGGGATCAGCAAGGGCTCTGGGACACAGCAGTATTTCTGAGGCACTAGTTAGGGCATAGGGCTCTCTGGGCAGGCCATTACCATGCTAGGAGGAGCCCGTGGGGGAAAGGGGAAGTCTGGGCCAGTCTCTGATATGCCAGTGGGGGAGGTAGGGCCATGGGTCCACTCTTGGTGGGCCTACTTGGTGCTTGTGAGGACCTGTGGGGGACATGAAAGTCCAGGCGGGCTTACGCATCAGCAGTGGCCAGAGGGTGTGGGGAAGGGGAGCTCAGGTTTAGGCCTGCCAGTCAGTCAGGGGGAAGTATGGTTTCCTCAGTGTTTTCTGTCAAGGGAGAGGAGGGTGTACTCACATGGAGCAGCCCTCTTGCAGCAGTGGTACACCTCTGTTCTGGAGTGTAGAATGCTACATGGGTTCAAGTACTGGAGTCACAGCCCTGCAGCTCAGCCTCACCTGGAAGGTCACCACAGCAGCCCACGTAGCTGGGATTTTGGTGGGTTCTCAGGGATATGAAGATTTGCAGGCCATCTGTCTTTGGCAGTTGCTCGGTTATCAGAATGGAAGCACTCTGCAGCTGCTTTGGTCCTGGGACTTGGAGTTAACCAGGGCTAGGTCCTTTCTTGAAGTAGTGAAGCCCTATGGGTCTCAGGAGCTTCCTTTCACTGGGTCCATGCAGGGCCATGGGGAGTTCTGGACTCTCTGGCAGCTAGCAATGCCATTCAGTATCAGAGGTTTCTAAGTATCTGTCGTTCACCCTTTTTGGGATGCCTTACATTTCCTTTTCTTGTCTAATTGGTCTGGATAGGACTTCCAGTACTATGGTTTGTGAAAGTGACAGGAGTGGGCGTATTAATAACTCCTGCTCTTGGAGG